CTCGCACGAACATCCGACCAAAGCCATAAAATGTACTACTAGTCCATGTTATCCTTTCAGTGCAAGGGCCTAACAAATGGATATCAAAAACTTTTTGATTGTCTTTATCGGAAGAGCTACCATGCGTTCAGCATTTGCCAGCATGACTCCGCCACTCCTGTGCTCCTAGACAACCCGACCGAACGTCACAGACTGAAAAATGCCTCACTACACATAAATTCCCTTCAGACACCAGTAGCAGCTCCCGGAGCCTTCACATATAGCGTCCCTCACTCTTTGGAGTCGAAGAACAGCTAGTCCGAACCAGTCCTCAGGCTTCCTAGCACCCCTGCAGCAGCGCGTTGGCATATGTCTGCGTGCCTTTGTTCCCTCTGAACAAATGCACATGGTGCTGGCTTTGCAGTGAAGTATCCGCTCCTCCACGAACACTGAAAAAAACACTGCAAAGCCGGCAATCAATCAGAACCAGATGTTCACAATCGTATCTGACAGAGACATCCAAACAGTTTCGGTGGATGCGGGTATTGAATGAGCTCGCGTGCAGACTTATTGGAAACCACGCAGAACCTCCATGGGCGACATATTAGTCAAATGCCTTCAGTACTTGCAGGCGCTTAAAAGTGCCCTTTTTTTGGGTATCCTTCAGCAAGTCTCTTTCTAAGCAGTGTACGGCAGCTAAGACGCGGAGCTGCAAATACGAAGTGCAAGACAACAAGGAATGACGATTGTCCATCCCAACGTTATTCTTGTATATCCATATTCCGACATGACAAGAATAAATACTATAGGAGCAGTCTACCTGATGGCCTTTATGCAAGGGATTCGTAGACACACACCTTCATTTATTTTGAATAACCCCCTGCAAATTAATCGAGTGACGGCCGCCGACTTTGCGTCTAAACATACCAAAGCCAAAACACCAACCACAGCTTGAATAAGCCTGCAGGACCCTCTTACTGCTACGGCAGATGCAACGCACTCTTAATGCTCTTGAAACCACGAGGGCCTAAGCATTTTGCTCGCTCTAGCTAGAGCGAAACATTGAACGAGGCAGCACTTCAGACAATCGTTTATATAATTACCCGCCCACTCAATCCACAGACAAACAAATTTCTGCCATCCTTGCACTCTTAGCAGTAATGCCGCTCCCAAATGTCACAAAACACCAGGTAAAAATTAATACACCCAAACGTTTCCCACAAAGGTTTGTTAGCTAGCGCTTCTCGGCGAATAAGCTAACCAAACTCTTGCTCCTCAATTGAGGATACAGTCAATATACCCTTGCTTGTCTATGGAATTCTCACTACTTCGTCACCCTTCATCCCCCTTCCACCAACATGAAACTTCGCCATTCATTCTTAAACGCAAGCACCCACATAAAAATGTCCTGTAATCAATCTTCGCACGTAGCGAGCACGTACACTCTACTACCATATAAGCTTCTCGTGGCCACATATGCTCAAACACGCCCCAACAGCCAAGCATTACTACAATCTACCCAAACGACGATCAAACATAACCAAACATATACGCCGACAAAAAGCAAACATCCACTGCTCACATCGGCGGACTCGAACATATGCCAAGGGGATAGGACATTTTCTGATCGACAACCAACATACCAAATGCCAACAGCGAACAATCACGCAAACGCGCCCACGGAACAACCAAAATGAGCTTCCTATCTCTGCCTTTAACTGCACTCGCCGACCCCAATGCCGCTCCACCTTCGATGGAAGGCAGTGCTTTGGAAAACTTAAAACCCAAGCGCACAAAGCAGCCTGCGCGAAAAACAGTCACTGACATCTCGTCATATACGTGACAGCCGCATAGCTAGCATCAACATCAAGCCTCCACGCTGATTTCTCGCTACCACTCCACACACTATTCGCTTTCTACAAAGGCTCCACTTTGCCGTTCAATCACCTACACAAAATACTACACAAACTTTCCCTGCATCCAATCCTAGCAATCAACAAACACTCCCCCGCTGTGTACTAGTAAAGAACGTGCTTCAATTTCACCAAGTCTCAAGCACTCTTCCACAAGACAAACATGACCGTGAGCTCCTTAGACCACACTTAAGCATCAACAAGCAGGTTGTCTAGCACATTGTGAGCATAGACTCCCCACTGCTGCAAACTCCATCACATCCCCACACATTGCACCACACGCAGGTCTAGCAATCAAGGTGTCAAATTCCCCTACGCACCATGGACACAGCTGATTTCACAAAACTAGCCAATACTGCATATCCAGCTCTGCATCGAAGTGCACCGGCCAACCCCAATGCTGCTGCGCACTCGAAGGACAGCACTAGCTCCGGCAACTCGAAAACACAAACGCACTGCATCAGCCTGCGCTTTAAATGCTCACTGGCTTGTCCTTTACGTACAAGAGGTCCGACATGCTAGCGAGGAACCCAACCCTTCTCACTATATTGTCAGTACCCTTCCACACCGCATCAATATTCTAGCAATCTGTAACTTTGTCCTTTACTCCTCTTGCAGTTGCGGACTCAAGCATGTTTTTGAATTTTAGCCTAGCAGGCAATAAGCAATAGTAAATATGGAATTACTGAGCAGGCGCCTGAAGACCATACACTGAACCAAGCACCCATCAATTCACAAGCTTATCCACCCGCACGGCATCACTGTAATGTACTCAAGAGAGGCATGTCCATAAAAGGACATTCCAGTCAAGCAGCCTGTAACGGCCCAGTACCGACTGATGCGGACTCGAACACGTGTCCATCCGCCACTACACTCACAGTATGGTGTGCGATATTCCATAACTGTTAAACAATGGCTTGCATGCCAAGAAGGAAGTAGAGCCTATCCAGCTATGCATCCAGCGACACCCGTCATGCCCATTACCTCCGCATCTTCGAGGGCTCGCACTATAGCTGGTAATTTATATTCACTTGTGCTGTGGTACTGTGCGCGAAGAACGCTTATTTCCCTTTGAAAGATACATGCCAGAGTCATCCAATCGATCACACTGGATTTAGCTGCAGTAAATAACTACAACACCGCTGTGCTATAGAGGAAACTGCATAAGCAACTAACGCTTGTCTTCATCGTACAAATCAACGTGGCGTGCTAGCTATTCATGCATGCAGCTACACGAACCATAGCACAGGTTGCTCCTCAATGGCTGTAAAGCCGTGCAGGTTAACCAGGTATATCGATTCCAAATGCGTGCCAGAGTGTAGTGGCTCGTGTGTCGCGCCCATCCGGCACACCGCTTAACTTCTGTTCAAGCACTACTTCATAGCTTACTCGCCGAACACTGTGCCGAGAACACCACCAGCCAAGGCGTAATCGGCCACCAAAGCGACCAAACATTTTTACATTCCATGACAGCACATTAGACCGTACGTCAGATAAGGCGTATGAAGGTCCTGCGTGCGATCAGTTGTGGCAAAGCGCAGATCCTCTCGAATTGCTCAGTGGCACGTCTTGCGCACTCCTATCGTTTTATACATCTATAAGAAAAACGGTCCTCTGCTATCCAGGTAAGTGAATTGCAGTGTTATGGAGTAAACTTTCAGCAAAACGTTTATGGGTTTTCTTTAACCACAATCTGTCGGATTATTCACGCAAACCACAACTGCTAGCACCCCATCCATGCGCTAGGGGTAACTAGAAAATCAATCTAGCATCCCTACGTCCATTCCCCAATATAGTGACACACTTGGACAAATACACGTTACAGGCCCGCCGTTCAATGAAGTGCCAGACGATCGCGGCGTAGTGGCCCATATTGCTTCCCCTCCTTATCTAAGGTCCCCCTGTAGAAGGCCCCGACACAAGATCAGCTGGCCAGACTTCCGTGTGCCTCTCAACAATGCACAGAGAGACGAATTAGCGCCGAGGGCGCAATACAGTTCGAACAATGCTTGTCAATTTTAAAGTTGGTTAGCATGCACTGTACGTGCCATTTGCAGGAGCTCCAGCATGCCTTGCAACATCGTGATGGAGACTCAGTTTGACAGTCAAGTAGTTGCCTGTCCGTTCGATACTGCGACTCTCGGAACACAGACGTACTCTTGAGATGTTGCAAGAACTTTGCTATTTTTGTGTTATCCGGCTGCTGAGGTAGGACTGGACTGCCGTCGATACCTAATCATGCTTAAAACAATGCCGTGACTTGCTTGCATGCCAGAAGACTATGATGTTTAGCCTTTGTGCTGCATGTCGACTCTATACAATAAGGCTGCCATCATAAAAACAGACTATATTAACCCAGTGGTGTACCGCCAGACACGCACACCTATTAACTTGTAAGCTGCATACTTATCCAGAAGCATTTGACCGTATAAATACACCTGCAAGAGCACAAAGTTGCAAGCCTATATTGACTATTAACATTTGGTGCGATGATAGACACCGCGAAACGTACACAATGCCTAATCACCTCTATAGATTGAACACCATCATGCATGTGTTGCTGCAATGTGAGCTGCTACTGCTTCTGCCATTGTAGTAGATATGACAAAAATAGGTGCATGAGTCTTACTTTCAGCCCCGCTATGCCATTACTGCATTTTGAGCCAATGCGCTACAAAGCCTTATCTTGCTTGGTGTAGTGCACGTTTCTTTCGGCAAATATCCGCTTTCAAATATGCCTATCTACATTATGAAACCTCGTTGCCCATGCGGAAACGCACCATCAAAATAAACTTATACATACTTCGTATCTGTAGATACATTCTGTTCAAACAAGCAAACGACTGCTAGAGTGCAGGCATTTCCAGTCAGTTCTACTAAAAGGGACACCTAATAAGTCTCCGCCTCTTACAAACAACAGCAGAAATGCAGTTGCTGCTGTAAATGAATGGAGCATCTGGAAACATAAGGTAGGGCGGAACAAGATAGGCAAAGGATACAAAAAACAAATACAGGACAGCTCCGCTAGGAGATGGAGGGTCGCCACTCCCATTTCTGCCTTCGTAGCTACGTCTTCAGCGCGGTTACCTCGGCTGCTGCTCCTTCGACTTAAAACTCTTCGTCCGTATATAGTACCCTCTCTCCCAAGTCCTGGACAGCCGTCTGCTCGGGCGGCTCAGGGTCATCGTTGATGAGCGATCGTCTCAAAAACTCTGCTCTAGCTGCCAGTTCAGCCGCTGTTGCGGTAGGCACTAGCTTGACTTGCTCCGGCGGAGCGTCTACAGCGGTGGTCGCCACTGCTGTAGACTGTGGCATCATAAGTGATTCTCTCGGATTCACGCAACCATCAATGTCGCTTCTGCAGATACTGCTCTGAGAGCAGTTTGTACCATTGCTGCTGCGGCTGTCTCTACGGCCCTAAGGCAACAACAAAAAGCAAGAACCAGATATATCTGCAAGTCAACAAACACTGGAATAAAAGATAGAACATAAGTAAGGGTTAAATTCCTTAGATTGAGGGGCCAAAGCGCTGTATTCACCTGGCTGTTCGTCGTTGCGCTGCTGCTAAGATGAATGTGCTGCAGCTCTTGAAGCATGGATGGTTGCTGCTCTTGCACAGGCTGCGCTTGATGGCACAAATTTTGGTAATGATGCTGCATCACAGCTGTATCGAACAGAGCAGAGGCGACAGGAGACTCTCGGGATCTGCCAACCTCCAGAGCGACGGGAACTCTTAACCTGAGGCATTGCAAGCACACGGATAAACCTGTGAATTTTTCCCGCACATGCTGTATACAACAGCATTTAACAAAGCAATGGATACATCCGCAGCCACAGCGGCATACCTAGGAGAAGTATACGAATGGCGTGCAGGCACTGCGGAACATGGAATGCCTGATGCACTCATGCAGTGTAATGGCTATTGCGATAAAACTTAGAACATGAGCAGAAACAAGCAATGGGTCAACTGCTAGCAAACAGAGGGCCAAGAAAAAATTCAAGGCAAGAAAAAAATATAAATATTCAGCAACTGCAATCACTAAGTGCAGCCGCGCAGAGAATAGACCGAGATACAGCCGGTGTATAACCAACAGTAACAATTGAAACTCGCACCTACCAGCAGGTGGGACACAGGTTGTACGAAGTGAAGAATCGCCAGATATACAAGGAAGCTATACAAAGGAAAAGCGAAAAGTTGCAAAGTGAGGTGAGGAGAGTACACAAGGCGGGATAAAGTGGGTGTTGCTTGCCTTTCTGCCTCAGCACATCGTGAGGCTATGCTCTCAGCCATGACCGTCTTGATGCGTCTCTCGATTTCCTCCTCAAGGGGTCTTATGCAGAAAAATCGCGCCTCAAGTAGCAATTGCTGCAACAACCAAGGTTTGTTACTACAACATAGTGTTCCATTCCTCAGGAAATCTAGAATGTATGTGAACGCATCTCCATTTCTGTCTACAAAGATCTCTCGGGTCTCCCCATGTCTCCAAGGAGGAGACAGACGCCGAGACAAATAGTGAGGGCCGTAATTGCTGAGGGTTGACGCTGTTGTTGCGAAATGTCTGCCCCCCACGTTCAGCAATACCTTGCTGCTGAGATCCTCAAGAGATAGTGAGTGCTTGCAAGCGACCCTACAGGTGCTGCAGCGGGCTTGCGAGCAGCAGCAGCAGGAGCAGTGAGCGTTAGGGCGAGGACTGCGAGAAACTAAAGGACCAGTCTTTTGGCTTCTGCAGCTACCACCCTTGTGGCTATTGTGCTGATGATCGGTATGATGAATTTGTTCCAATGTTCCTTGTTTGCGTAGCTGATCATCCAGCGCCATATCCAGAAGCGATTCTGGGTCCATTGTTGAAAGATTGCAGCTAATACTCTCTGGATCGGACTATTTGATGTAGAAGCCGCGCTTGTCGTAGATGCTAGTAAAACATACACGCAGAGAGGCCTCCCCTCGGGGAGCCAATCCACCTTCTAGGTAGAGCTTCAAGGCTGTACTGCACGAGTGATGTACCACTGTTGCATTAGAAGTGACAGGACCAAAAGTATACAAGGTTTCCTGGCTTCCTTACAATACGGCGCAAACCCAGTGCTCATGCAAGCTAGCAAAGAAAAAAAGGATGCGATGCTAGAGCCGGTGCCATGGTTTGTAGAACATCTGGAAATCGAAGACGCCACAAAATTCTAGAAGACCTGCCCTAGCTGACGAAGAGAAGGCCTTAAGGTGTGCTGCTGTCCGTTGTGTGCGGCTAGCGTACCAGTATTGAAGTGAAGCCGACAATTTAGCAGACTTCTGCAATTTGCCGTTGAATGAGGCACCCGCTGATGCAGCAGAGAGCCGCAAATAAGTACATCGTCTAAAGAAACACCTGAAGAAGGCACCAAATCTATGGGGTAGGACTGCAGATGCAGCAGCTGTTGCAAAGGCTGGCGCTGTTGTTGCAGCTACCAGCCCCGGTAGGCGGCAGTGCGCTTAATGTCTCGACCCAAATGAGTCTTCTGCTGCTACACGGCAATTTGTATATAATTCAAGCGATCGAGAACTGGTATCAGACACTTTATCGAGGATTGGTTCGAAACTTAAGTAAAGGGGGTTTTTATTCTATCGAAAGCAGCACGCGTGATCATGCTGTTGCTGTACCAAGAAGACCGCTGCTGGAGGTGTGGCGCTCCACCATCCACTGAAGTACCTTTTTACTTTGTCTAGTAAAGTGTCATTGCTAGAGCATTCCTCGAGCTCCTCTTCGTGCTCAGTTTCATACAAGCGCCCCTATAAGTGCCTTCCAGTTGCATGCATTTTGTAGCAGACTGCGGGTCTCCTCGACCCTCACGACCGTAGTCTCTGTAAAGTCCTTGCACGATGCCGACACATCTATCTTGCCGATAATTCAAGCAGACTAGACGTGGTCTAACACGAAGAGCAGGTGGTGCGGCCACTGGAGCAGGCACCGGCGCCTCAAGGAAACAGACCTCCCAAGGCACTAACTCCATGTGGTGCTCTACTAGGCATCATCACCGTCGTAAAAGTGCTGCTTTTCTCATCTCTCTGACAGGCACCCGCTGAATGCAGTTATGCTACAGTGAGCACTGAAGGCTCAGAAGAGGACTCAGAAAGCCCTACAAAGCAGTGCTCATGGGCATCCTGTGCAGCCGCAGAGCTCCAATCAGCTGCAGATGTGTATACAACTGCAGCAGCGATGGCGTTTCGTGTTGCGCTCTGCCGCAGTATATTCGCGATGTAAGCATAATCGGGTGTGTTCTGGAAGAAATATCAAAAGCAGCAGCACTAATTTGCAATTCGCTGCAGCTCTCGCAAATTCCGCTTTCCGGTACTTCGCCTATCCACCTATTGCAACAATAATGACTCCGGTTTTGTGTTCAGCGAAAGCCTTGGAACGTGGCACTCTGTGTACAGCTGCTTCTGCCCTTTGCCGAGGCAGCGCCCACAGCAGGACCTTAGTCCCAATTCCCTGCAAACTGACTCTACCCACCAGCGAGCGTGCCCTAGCTTACGCTACTAATCGGCACATAAACCAAAATGAGCAAGCGAAACAAGACCAAGTGCAGAATCGTTCGGACTCCTCTATGTGGTGGGAGGACGGAGACACAGAATGGCCTGCTGACCTCGTTGCAAGGACGTTCCCCCCGACTCCAGTCCGTGCAGCTCTACAACAGCAGATGCATCACAATCAACAGGGATATGCCGCAGGTTCAAAGACCTGTGGTGTATCCATGTATACACCAGGACAGGAAGCAGCTTTCTCAGCTTGTCATGCAGCATCGTGTGCATCGCCAGGCTCTACCGACAAACCACCTCAGTTACTAGCAGCAGGACCAGGATTGGGAACCCCACCAGCAGCAGCACACTTGGATATTTCCCCGCTGTTGATGGTCACCCCGCTTTCTGCGGCCGAACGGCACACCCTTGTGCTTCTTTGGCGCCGCCTCACTTGTACAAAGACCCCTCTCAAGTCACTTGCAGGGGAACCAGTAGGCCCTCCGCTCGTGGCTTTTGTAGAAGCCAGATGGGGTCTGCCGACATCTCTATTAGCTGCAGAAGAGACACACAAAGACTTTTTCGGATGGCTTTTCACTGCAGTGCGGATGTCTCAGCAGCACCAAGACCACCAAAAGCAGCAGGAGGATCCCATGGATGTGGCGCAAGTAGCTTCCGTTAAGGATTTGCTGCAGGCCATTAGGGGACATTTCCACCTCCAGGATGCAGCAGTGAGGCACGCACAGCTGCAGCAGCAGTCGGCTCAGCAGGGACTGGATAACCTGCTGCAGCAATGGAGGAGAGGCTTTTCAGATGTCGCTGAGCTGGACATTCTCAGCAGCACTTACAGCATGGTGAGCTGAGGCATCTAAAGAAGTAGACTGTGTATGCTGTGCCAATTTCGACGGTTAATCTTTAATATGTCTGCGCACCCACTTGGTTCAACTGCTCATTCTTTTTCTCTTACTGCATTGTTGCTGGTGCGGCTGCAGCTGTTGGAAATCGCTTCTGCCATGGAAAGCACCTGCGGGCTGCCTGGAGGCCATCGGATCAGCGTCAATGCAGAACATGTTTTCCCCGCTGCTACTGGCCCCCTGATGGCTTTAGCCCGAATATACTTCGCCCGTCGGGCCTTCTCCGGCGTCATGTCTCTTAAGAACAAATTGAAACTGGTGGTCAGACAGGGGCTTGCTGCTGTCGTAGCCGCTCCTCGTTTGACTGTTGCGGCTGCTGGCGCTTGTGTTCATTTTTTGTTCTTCGTGTACTCCTAGAGGTGTCGTCTTGACGCAGGTGGGCGCTCTTCCTGCGGTTTATTCCTCCGCAACTAATTCCCTTCACTTCCGTGTTGTACGGAACTGCTTTCTAGGACCTGACGAATCCGGAACGGTGGTTTCCTTATGCACGTCGGCAGAAGCGTTCCATCTCTCTTTTTCTGGGGCCACCCAACAGCGGCAAGACCCGAAGAGCCCTAGATGCCATCATGGCGGCCCCAACGGGGTGCTACTTGGGGCCCCTCAGGCTGCTGGCGCGTGAGGTGTATAACCAGCTCAAAGCCAAAGGCATCAGGTGCTCTCTGATTACAGGGCCGGAAAAGATCATTGACAGTGTAAGCAAAGACCCCTACAGGGCGGTCCAGCGTGCTACCCAGAAGGCCTTGGCGTGAACTTGCCATATGAAACGCAGGGGCATTTTGTTGGCTTGCTAGTGGCAGCTAAAGTCCTTCTTGGAGAGTCATGTGGATAGTTGCATCTACTCGTTCAGGGTCTTTGCACTAGCTTTATGTTTATATGGCAGAAATCTCTCGGTTATACTACTGTCAAGTACTTTGTCTGTTGCTGCTGCCACTGCTGCTACAAATGCAACAGGAAGCAACACACGTTTGCAGCACAGTCGAGGCAGCAGTCCTGGATAGGGACTTCGCTCTGGGGGTGTTGGACGAGGTTCAGCTTCTCGGAGACGCACAGAGAGGCCCTGCGTGGACAAGGGCTTTCCTTGGGCTCAGGGTACATGAGGCGTGCTGATGCTCTTGCAAAGCTACTTAGGGTTGTTTCGCTAAAATGCTTCCCCTGATGCTCGAAGTCCTTCAAGTCTTTGACAGCCCGTCGGTGATTCACGACGATTCGCGCTCCTGGTATTCCGGCGAACTGGGCACACACCTAAGCGCTTTGCTCTTCGATACTGGTGCTTTGCGAATGCTTTAATGCTGTTGTTGCAGGTCACCGAACTACACGTTTGTGGAGAGGAGACGGCTGGCCCCCTCGTGGAGAAACTGGCGCTACAGTGCGGAGACACAGTATGCAACAAATGCACACTAAACTCTCTCGCCGTACTCAAGGTAAGGGAGGCAGAAGCTATAGGGAGGTTCGGAGAGAACCAGCAGGCATAAGTCGATAACAATTTACAAGGAACGAGACTAACAACGAGACTGCTAGCAATGGCACAGAGTTACTAAAGCCTAGACGCTCATAGAGAGGATAATAATATGAAAGACGGACGCAAAGTCGCGCAACGTCCGCAAACTAGTTAGGCGAAGAGCGGGAAGCAGATATACACAGTCACTCCAGGCGTAGAAACTGAAACATCGGAGGAGTAACGAAACGAAAGAAGTGTGTAAGGGAAACAGACAAACGACCGCCACGCTTTTGTCCTTTCCTATCAAGTTCGAAGCAGACTTGACGCATCTGTATGCGCTGCAGGTGGAGGAGCAGGCCCTCCCAACTGATTGGGTGTCATCTTTGCAGGCAGGCGACTGCCTTCTCACTTTCTCCGTAAACGCCTGCTGGCAGCTAAAGAGCTTCCTGGCTACCAGGGGCGTCCGAGCATCTGTGTTATATGGACAGCTACCACCGGATGTCAGGCTGCGGCAAACTAGGAAGTTCAATGAAGCAGTGCAACTGCATATTTCGAAGCTGCAGGAACAGCAGCATCCAGCACTGCACACTGTGCCACTCCATTCAGCTGCTTCTATTAACCCATGCGCAATGGAGCAAAGAGTTATTACTCCTCTCTCTGATCCAGCAACGCCACTATCCTCGATCGCATCTTTGCAAACACCAGGGAAAGCAGCAGCAGGAGATCAAGAAGCGGGAGATTCTTATCCTATCCCCAACTCAGTCCTAATAGCAACCGATGCCATTGGTTTGGGGGTGAACCTGGCAATTCGCCGCATTATTTTCACATCGATTTTTAAGTATGATGGGGCTCACCTGAGGCCGTTGGGGGCGTCCGAGATCCGCCAGCTTGCCTTCAGAGCCGGCAGGTTTGGTGGCCCGTGGGGTTTACAAGGTGGCTTTGTCTGTGCTTTGTATGAAGACCAGCTCGAAGCGTTAAGAGGAATCCTTGAAGGTGCGTAGCTAGGACCTGCTCTAAGGCATGCGCGCTCATGCATGAGGGGCTTCGCTTCGGCGATTAATAATCAGGATCAAAGGGTGTACATAGAGCCCGCCACTCTTCGCTGTGACCTGTGGTGAAGCAAAGTGTATCTAAGAGTTGGGGTTTGCTCTTCCTGCTTAGGAAGTCTGTTTTAGTGCATGATGTGTGTATATGCTATGTGGAACATCAAGCTGCTGCCTGGGAAGTTTACTTTCTATGTAGAGTCTGCAGCTTACCGGAGAGTGGCTCAAAAGAGTCGTTTTGGTAGTTAAACGTTGTTATATGCGGGTGCTAGACATGACGTCACGCTGCCAGGTTTGTGGTGTATGACTTAGGCCCTGGTATCTCAGCACCTCCCCTGAATGCCGCTGCCCTATTGCCGGAGTCTTGGATCTTCATACTCTTTTGTAAATTCTCAAGAATCACATCCCACGAAGCTCCGGCTGCTATTATACAGCAGTAAGCTCTCACTAGCCCCAGTTTGTGATCGTTGAACGCGCAAAACCAGGATGCAAATTCGCGTTGTGCGGCCCTGTAGCTGTGACCCTCACCTACATCGTGTGACCCCGAAATCCGAATGCACCGTCTAAAAATATCGGTTCTTGAAATTTTATGCGGCTCAGGTTCGTATCTCTGATACACACGAGAAACCCTTACTTTATCCCCCCGGGAGCCCTGCACGGGGCCATTGCTGTCGCGGATTTGTTGAAGGATATTCCCCTGAGGCCTCATGAGCTATATATATTTTGCACAGCCCCCGTTTCCGTGTCCCGGCCTCCACAGCAGATAGGGCTGCAGGAACAGTTGCAACACGAGAGCAGAGATGCAGGGATCAGACAGGACACGCATATGACGGCTTCCCACGTAAATAGGACGGTTGTAGCTGATGATGAAATTTCAGTGTCACGCTCGGAGAGTACCACGGCAACAGGAACTGCTGCTGCTTCGGGATATATCAGTCTCCCCATGCAGGCAGCACTGCGCTCGTTTGCTGTCTCGCTCGCTGCAACTAGGCTGGTCATGCTGCCTCCGCCTTTTCGCATAGTTCGTCGAAAGGAAAATGTGCACCAGCATGTGCAGGTTCAGCAGCAGGAGAGCCAACTACGGCACATGTGCGGGCTAGATGATCCCCCTCAACTTGCAGCTGCGGCAGGTGTAGGGTTTTTTGATGCCAGTGTCCTCGGGCAGCCCCCCGAGGCTGAGGAGACCGAGGCAGCGCCGGCAGAGACACTGGAGTCTCTGAGAGCTTGGGAAACAATATACCAGGTAAGGCTTACTCACATTTTGCAAAACCTACTGAATTGGAGTAGGCACGCATACACGAAACAAATTGATTTCGTCGAACGTTATTAGGGCTGCTACATCAGCAGTCAGGCTGTGGATTCGGGTATGTGTGCAGGTACTGGACCTTTATTTATGGTTGGCAGACAAATTGCCAAAGGCCTTCACTGACGCCCCTCTTGCTGTTTCAGGGAAGGCCCTGGCGGCGGAAGTCATTGAGGAGGCTTTAGATAGGGGCGCGCCCCTCCAGGGCCTCGGGGAGCCAGATGAACCAGAGCATCCTTGAGAACTTTCCGTCAAGACTATCTGCTTTGAAACCAATGTGTAACATGCAGTTCAACTCTCTTGCAGCATCTGATCATAGGAGTACCTGCTGATATTGTGTGGGAGCAGGCAGGTGGCACCTGCCTAGTTTTTTCCGTACAAGACGCCACCTGAGGACATCTGATGGCTGGCTGCCCACCGGCACCAAGGCGGACATGCATGACTGCAGGTAGAAAGTCCGGTTATTTGAGTGTGCGGGAAAGGAGTTGGAAAAAGCGTATCGTTTTGCTGTGCCCCTTAGGGCCAATAACTCTTTTAATAGGTTTTTTTGGTGTGAAGGTTTGTTTACCTGTGTGGGACTCTACATAAGCACATCTGCATATTTGTCATCATTCGATTACACGTATGCTTGTATGTGTGCGTGAATCCGTAATATGGCTAACCTAAAGCTATCCTATGGATCTGTTGTCATAGGCATATTACACCGCTTAGTCAGACAAGTGGTAGCCCGTGTATACATGTATTAAAAGCTGTCCATTGTCGGGCATGCGTACATACGTTGATTTAAGGGCGTATTAGTTGGTTTGATGCAGTAACTTGTACATACACACATACATGTGCCTTGAATACACCGAAGGTAGACGACGCCTACCTGTTTTGCCCCCTCGAGGCCACCTTTATTCGAGTATTTTGATAAAGTGGGGCACTTGCATTGTATCTAAATCTATTGCTTATGTATATGTGTGTATATACCTAGAGGAATACGCCCATGTACACCCGTACACGAGGTAAGCAAAGGGCAGCCGCTTAACAAGCCGCAGATTAGCAAACGAACCGAATGCCAGGCACGCAGCAAAGACAAGCATAGAAGTGCGGCTGGAGGCCTCAAAAGAGAGAATCGATATACTTGAACAAGCTATCCTCTTGCAGCGTTTGCACATCAAAGATTTGGACGATATGGCCATCGGGGCGGAGCAGCAGCAAAAGGTCTTCAGCGCGCTCTGTCGGTCGCTGTGGGAATTTTACAGTAGAAGCAAATGATTCTGGACATAAAGACGCAAAAAAACATGGGTCGACAGTATTCAATAGGGGGAGCCTTAATAACTACAGTGTGACAGAGTACGGAGAGGCTCTTGGGGGACAATCCAGTAACTGAGCTGGCCCTGAAGTGTTTCGACGGTATTGGGGTACGAGTGTGCAGGGCTACGACTTTACTTCGAATATCTGATGAGCTTGTTACGCGTTTCCAGCCGCTGCGCGTCCTGGATCCGGGAGGACCACATCCTAAGACGGCGAGAGCGCTTGATCGAAGCTTGAAGGGTTCTTCTGGGGGTGGGAAATCAACGGGGGGCGGGCATGTGTTTGATGACCCATTTTCAGCTGTCCAGGTAACCCCAAAGACAAAATCAGCTGGTGTGTATCTGCGCCGAGCAGCAGCAGGCTTTATAGCATCGAATGTTGCTCTTTTGGCGTCTCTCCACTTTTGCAGCGCAGCAACCAGACAGTCCTCATGGGCTTCAGATAGCAAGAGGAGGCAGTAGGAACAGGCAGGTACGGCCAAGGCAGGAAGATCGACAGTTGAAAGGTAGTATGCTGTAGCACACGCAGTAGTGCCGGACAAGAGGTGAAGTGAAGGGGACACGATGCTTTTCGTCCACACGTCACCCGATTTCATGTACCTATTACAGCAGATGCTATCTCTATTGCAACTAGTGGCTTAGCTATAGTGATTTTAGCTTGCCTCTGCCAAACCAGCAAAGGATAAACAGCATTGATACAGTAAAATGGGATATCTAGCCCAAAGCACGTTTGTTCAGTCGAAGCATTGGGATTTGATGAAACAACGTATGCGGATGATTAAAGCAGCATTGGCATGATGGATAGGAGCAAGGCAGTACTATTGTCTAGTAAAAGGCGATACCTGTCGGATCCGTTTTATCAGTCAGCTGCAGGAAGGCTGTTAGGGGAGCATGAGGGATGCGGGCACCCCTCGACGACGTAGGCAGCATCCGGGAGACAGACTCCGACACCTGAACACAGCGAATAATAATGCACGGTTCAGCGTTTTATCTGGCCTCCACCTGCTTTTCATGCTGTGTACGCCACACCCTTCATGCCATCATCTCTGTGTCCTCTGTGTGTAAAACACTTCTGAGCTTCTGAGGTCTCTTCCTGTCTTGGTGTGCCTTGGTCAACTCTCAGCGCTGCTTTGAAATGAAAAGTGTAGCCTTTTGAAGCCATCTATCAATCTCTCTTTCCATCCCTTTGCACTCGAGGGCCTTAATGAGCGATTCGGAAGATTGGGTAATTGAATAGAGACGAACCCCGCCCTCATCACAGACGTGTTCCTACCTGCAGCCTGGGGGACCCTTGGCCACCCATGATAGAGGAGCCTGTGTAAGCATATCCAAGATCTGTTCCCTGAAACTTTAGTCCCAAATTGGTTTCCTCGTTTCCTAGCAGTAGCTCAATAGTCTTCAGCTGCTTCTCCTTCACAGGACTCAAAGACATCCTTAGCGAGGCCTATAAAAACAAGGGGAAGCAAACAGACGAATGACTATTCGCACAAATATGCACTTAGGAGAAAAACTGAGAGCACTAGAGTGTAGAGCATATATATATGGCTATACATTTATGTGTGCAGGAATGAATCATGCATAACCTCCTGTCCCTTCGCGTTTTTAAATCGTGGAGCTCCAGATAACTACTCCACACAGCAGAGGTAGCCGTTATGGCACAGAACGCAGCAGTCGTCACATCAGCGCCGGCAGCAAGAACATTGCGAAGTGAGCTGTGGCAGTGTCAGCGGTCTCAGTGATGGCGCATCCTTACTTGGGCCATTCCCAGCGCAAGGAAAAGCTCCATAACCCCTTTTCCCGTTCGGCTTGCAACGTCTTCGACAGCACCGCGAAGTCCTTTAAGACCAATAGCTTCTACTAATGCTGTAGCAGCAGACGCTCCAGCAGCAGTAACGGCAGCGATGCCTCGTGCTGCTTTTCCTGCTGTTTCCCAGTCGTAACCCAACGCCTCGGGGATGCACCGCCCAGAGGCAAAGTTCTTGCGGGCGACATCGCAAGTGTACTGGAGACAGGCAATAACACGCAAAGCTCTTTCACGTGTAGATATTTGAAAAGTCATACATATTGCTGCTCTTAATGATTTTCACATTGCTAGGAGTTACCTCGCCAACGAGCTTTCTTTCCTCTTCGTAGCTTCGCAGGATCTTCCCTGCTGGGTCAGTTTGTTCTTCATGATGCTGTTGGGCGTCCTGCACGGCGAACGGTCCCTTCTGTAGGTGGTAGGATTGCGCCACCTTCCACGCTGCATTGAGACAATCCGCGAGGCCCAAATTCATACCCAGGCCTCCTGAGGGGGGCAACCGATGCGCTGCATCCCCAGCCAGCAACACGCGTCCTCTAAGGGGCCCCCAGACGGTCGTCCCCTTCCCACCGTTTTCCTCAAAAGTCTCAAACAAAGCAGCTTCGCTCTGTGCATCAAGGCTCTGGCTCCCGGTCGCGTGAGCCTGTGTTTTGGGGCCGTCCGGAAGATACTGAGCAGCCACTTTAGCGGCCATCTCCCAGCCTTTCGCATCCTGAATTTCCACATCATTAAGGTTCCTTCCTGCAAGTTCTCTAATTAGACCATGGATGTCTTTCTGCTCCCAGGCGTCAACACAGCCTTTCCGTGAAGAATCAAAGTACGGGATATGAGCCACAAACAAGCCGGATTTGAAACAGTGACACACTACAACACCAATGATACGGGGGCCCAACACGTAATACAACATTCCCCGATTCCGGTAGCGTTGAAGCACTTCGAACCCGTGGCCCCGAATCGGGGAAACTCCTTGGTGCGTAAGACGGTCATTCACTCCACCACCAGGTGACCCAGCAAGCCCTTCCTGTTGCTGTATTGCTTCCGCCAGCTCTTTGGATCTAAATGTAATGTTGAGGAAGCGCTGAAGTGTGGGGGGGCCACCCAGATGTGTTCTTCCCCACTCCCTAACTTTTGAATTTGCCCCGTCGCACGCAACCAGGAGGTCACTCGTGATCTCTAAATGCTTAGGGCCTGCGGAGCCGTCAGTTAGCTCGACCGTGGAAACCACCGGACCCGTGGTGCCAGTTCTATTACTCTCCTGTCTCGCACCAATCCATCGGGCATTGAGTAAGAGCTGAAGGCTGCTCCTTTCTCCCTCCCCGGCTGTTGCTTCTTCCTTGCTCTTAAAGAAGTCTCCAGAAGCCCTTAATGCTGCTTCCTTGTACAAAAGAGGCAACAAAAGATCTTGGGAGAGCTGGGTCATCCGGCAGGGGCTGACGTCCTCCTTGTAAGTAACCTGGCCATTTGAAAGCAGTACTTCCTCACATCCTACGGCATCAGAGCCCACCACAGTTGGAGCAAGAGGCTGCGGGCCAACGCTTTCCCACGTATCAGCATCCACAAACAAAGAAGTAGCACATGGGCGGGCAGCAGCAGCGCAGAGGAGGCAGTAATACCAGGATAACTTTCAGACAATGACAGAGCAGCAGGAAGTACCTTGGAAATGGTCCTTTGCGGCGAAGTAGTGTTTTTGGATATTGGTGAGCTGTGCAGTGTATATGAACGACCTCCATGCGTTGAAACTGGGCGACAGCTCCTCCACGAGTCTGTCCACATGTCCCAGCTGCCTCCATACTGCAGGCAAAAAAAAGATTAGTTGATCGTAAAGCACACAGCTGTGTGCAAAATTGCTAGGCACTCCTACAAGTGACTACAGGCAGTTACAAACCTAGGTGCAAGCCCTTCCAGGGGCGTACAGGCAGAGAGTGCTACAGCACGCTTGAAGCGATGTGGCCAGTTTGAGAACTGTTTGGCTGGTTACTTGGCCCCGTGGCCACAAAGATAGCTATGCAGGAAGTGAGATACTGAACAAGCTGTCCTGACAGACAGCACATCAGCTGGAAAGTTTCGCAATTGAGATGTGAACTCGGGTTTGTTGATACGTCGTCACTTTTTTCCTTAAGTCACTGGCCATCTAGGCCAAGCTACCACGTTAACTGCGTGTGGCCTGAAACCGGCCCAATGAAATACAGAGAGAGACACAAAAAACACAGCACCACCAAAAGCCACAGAATTGGGCTCGACTAGCCACCAGGACCTCAGGACGGACAGCAGTATAAGTCCGTCACGCTTTGACTCACTTTCCATAGACCTGTTGGTGATGTAGTGCGCCTTCGGGAGGCACGTCGCTGCTGCCTGCTGCTCCAGTACAAGAGTGGGAACCCCCGATCGCTGTAGCAACAGGGCCATAGTGAGCCCTACAGGACCTCCCCCGACAACCAACACAGGAACCCTGGCCTCTCTGCCGCTGAAATAGTTGCCATTGCTGCTGGGTTCGGTAATGTTGTATTCGGCAGTGGTGAGCGCCCTTAAGGAGATGTAGGAGCCCAAATTAAAGCGTTTTCGGACGTTATAGGAGCCCTGAATGGGACCAAAGGCACCCTTAAAGGCTGAGAGCAGTAAGGGCCTCATCCGGGAAAAGGCCTAGTCGACTGTAACTGGAGGGGCCGTTGAATTATAGCGAACAGTAGGCCCGAGTTTCTTAATTCAGCAGCTGCATTACATACTGCCTTAAGATAACATGTCTAGACGCAACACACGAGTCATGCTTTAGAAAAACCTGTATGCTGGGATTTGCACGATGCGTTTCTGAGAGGGCAGTACTGCAGGGAGGCCCTCAGAGGTCGTCAATGTAGAAAGCATCAATAGTCCCCGTGAGGTTCGATCGCTAGGGTTCAAACGAAAAACGCATATTTTAAAGGCTGAGCCCAAAGGTACAAAGAAATCACTTTGCGGAATATGCGGACGCCCTGCCCACCAGTGGTACGACAAAGTATCACTTACGGCTCAGAGAGTCGAAATTTCCCATTTTTGCACCCCTAATCAGTTTATATTTCAGAAGAAGTTCCAAGTCTTCCATGCCGCCGAGACACCCTCGGGAACTCGTAACCCATGATCGGGGCCCCTCGGGAGCCTCTATGGGGTATAAGTCTCAACCGGTAGGACGCAAGGGTCACCCCCGAACGGGGAGCACTTAAAAACAAAACGATCACCTTGAATATCTAAATGCTGGTGCAGAATCCTCAAATGGGCCCTTTCTCATCTGTGTGCCCCCTGCCGGGTTGTTTCATGCTACAGTGATAGGAAAAATCAACTGGGCCCCGCCTCTCCTTGCAGCTGCAAGACCACCAAATACACCCCTAAAGCTGAGAGGGCTAAATAAAAAGAGGTTTAGATCCGATGGTAGCGCCACCACCATCTACGGTATGTGGAGTTAACTGAATAACACTGTTCCGTAGACCTCTAATCTAAACAAACCCTTTGCTCACAGTGTGCACTGCATCCATCATGAACTCCGTAGAGAAAAACATTTGAGCATAGCGACGATTAATAAGGATGTAATGACCCATCACAGGCAGCCATTTGGGGCCTGCCCGGGGACGCTGCTCAGGCAGGGTCTATGCGTGCATGGGCCACTGTCGGAAAGCCACATTGCAGAAAAAAGGAGAGAATGGCCATATTAGTGAACCGCCTAAGCTGGAGATCCAAATGTAAAGTAGGTGTAGCACTGTATGTGTTTTTAATATGGAGCCTCAGTGGAACGAGAAAGCTGACCGTAAGGAGGGCCACAGGAAGATCCCAAAGAAGGGTCCCCAAACGGTTCATCTGGTGTTCCCAGCTTGCTGCGACCATTTGCACTCCGCGCCCTTCAAATCGATGAGGGCTTAGCGGGCTCCACGACGCGAAGCGGCAGGGGCCTGTAAACCACACTAAGCTAACACCCGGCAGGGACAGAGCAGATGATACATGAGCTCGCCTTCTCTCGACCGCACCGACAGACCCTTCCTTCTAAAGAGCATCAAATGACTGCTAAGGACCTTCTTGGTAGCCATCGAGCTGCTCCAATCCAACAGACTTTCTCATGGAGGCAACCAACAGCTTCCCCAAGCCTACACGGGCTGAGAAGGGCGTTACTGGGGCCCACTGAAAAAGCTCTAGATGGTGTCCTTTCGAGCTCACGAAAATCCTGGTGCGATACTCTCGTTATCCTCAAGCTCTCAGCATTATGGGTGCCTAGAGTGTGTTACGGACAGAGACGCCGGACTCGAGCTCGTCTGTACAGAGTCATCGTCGGTGGGGCCTTCTGATTACTGTAGTTCAACCTCGGCGCCTGCAGACTTGAGGGCCTCAAGGGCCTTTTGTGCATCAGCTTTCGGAGCCTTTTCGATCACTTTCTGAGGAAGAGTGTCAATAAAGGCCTTCGCTGCTCTGAGATCCAGGTCGCTCCGCATGGTTCTTATGGTCTTAATTACTGTTATTCTGTTCGCAGTAGGTACAGACTTGAGTACCACAGTAAACTCAGACTTCTCTGCGGCAGCGGGGGCCCCCTCTCCGCCCATGCCAGCACCTGTAGCAGCCGCTGCTGCATTTCCGCCTGCTGCCCCCGCTCCTACGGGTGCGGCACCAGCTGCAAACATTGCTGCTGAGGAGATACCAAAAGCCGTTTCCGACATTCGTACCAATTCAGATACTTCCAACAAAGTCAAATGCTGCAACTGCTCCAGCACAGCCCGCACGCGGGGGCTCCCTTGAGGCTCCCCCTCTTGTGCTTCTGCTGCTGACGGCGGCCCAGCATGAAGAGCTGCGTGCCCGCGGAGTACTGGGTACCTCACGCTTCGACAGCAGCGGACAGCTGCTATGAAAGAGGGAGTGAAGCACTTTGACATTGTTGCGGTTCCTGCATTTTTTATTGCTGGTGCACGTGCAACTCCGACCCGAAGCAGGCCAGTCAGATTTGAGGAAACTGGTCCTTGGGCTCGATGCAAGCCCCTCTGGCCACTGCAGCTGCTGCTACATGATACAGAAACACCAAGACACATGAGCAACAGCAGCAGCAGAAGGAGAAACTGCCGCTGCTGTTGCAGCAGAAAGTACTGCAACATGGGGGCCCCTTCCCCCGAGGCACCGCCAGACTGCTAGAGCGGGGAAAGGGAGTAGAGTAGATACACTCCAAGCAAGAGTGTGGGGGTATTGGGAAGAAAAACGGTCGAGCTGCCGGGGTCACGGTTGACTGTAGGCTGACTCTCTCCTTCGGGGGGCCTCCCCAGTTGCCTTGTAGGCGGAGGCTACGGAAAAATAATGGCACAGTGACGAGTTCAAAGTCTTGAGGTGTGTGTCACCAATTAGAATATGTAGACCTTGACGCTTAAGAACTCGATTATGCGGCTTAGAAGCCACCCTCTCCTGGTGCTTGCGTATGTTCTCTGCGGCATGCGGATGGCAAGTGGGCTTTCATGCCACTGTACTCCAAGCCCTGAGCATTTACACTGAAACTCAACGCTGTGAACCATTAGACTCTGGATTTAAACACTAAATTGTGGACTCAACCCCTTTAAAGTGGCACTCAAAGACTCTACCCTCGGTTTCATTTCTCCCTTTACCCTCTCCTGCTTCGTAGCATATGACCAACGGCCGCGACGTACAAATACCAAATTTTAACCCTAAATCCCATCCTATAGACATGCATAAATCATAATTTCAAGAACCTGTATATTCATAGCGCAGGTATAACACGTATCTTTCGCTGTTTTAGCTCCTTATCTACGAACAGAAATTCTCAATACTCTGGTCCGATTGGCGCTGCAGAACACCTACAATGGCGGGTGAAAGCGTAGGATCCCATTGCTCTTACCGCTGGTGCAACCAACTGGACTTCCTCCCTTTTAAGTGCCTTCAGTGTGGCCTCGTGTTCTGCCGCATACACTACAAGCAAGGCGACCACGAATGCTCGCTGCCCTCCGCACCGGGCTCCCACGAAGGTTCCTCTGAAACGAACGTAGTACACCCCACAGGGTCCAGTACTCAGCTTCATCAGATTGTTTGTCGACGGTGCGGGCGCTTATTGGATGTTCCCATGGAGGAAAGTCATCGAGAGGCTATATTAGACCGACACAGACACTCCCTCGAGTGCGCCGCTGCTGCGATTAAGCCCTCATGTATGTTTGGTAGCTGCCAACAAAAGTCTGTGTCTCCTGCGTGCCTCATCCGCTGCATCCTGTGCAACGGCCATTTTTGCCTGGCACATAGACACCCGGAAGACCACCTCTGTGCAGCAGCTGCTGCGCAAGCAGAACAACCACAGCAGCCGTCGCGAAAGAGTGAGAAGCAAACGCTTCGTGAGCAAGCATCTGCTTCCATCGGGAGCTCCGGGCTGTCACATATCGTCAGCGGCCCTGGAAAGAAATCCCCTAGCACCGCCACAGTCAACGGTGGTGGCAATAAGAAGCTCTCCGCGAAAGCCGAAGAGACACAGAAGAGAATAGAGCGAATGAGAGTAAAGATGAGGGCCCCCCCTGCCCCATCTATCCCTTCGTCTTTTCAGCTGCCCTTGCGTGTAGATCTGCAGCTGCTACGCACTTTTGCTAGTCCACTGCAACAACAGAAAGCTGGAGAGGTGATTGTGGTAATAGATGGCAGCAAAACTCTAGGGTGTGCCTTGGACCGCATACTGGAGATACTGAAAATCCCCAACACGATGGCGTCTGCAGGAGGAACCAAGTGGGCACTATTGCTGCCGCAGCAACGGCAAACTGCAGGAGCGCCTGTAGACGGGGCTGCATCAACAGGTGGGGCGCTGGATCTCTCAAAGAAAGCAGCTGATACTGTGCTTCCAGGGGACACAGTATTGCTTTGTAACGAGGATGATATCCAAAAGGCGTAAAGGCATTTGAAAAATGCAGCATTTCGCCCGCCCCCGGCCCCCCGCAGTTAGAATATCAGCAGTGGCTGCAGCATTGCACACGAGCCTTACAATGCCGCCGCATCAAGTTCCTTTAGCCCGTGTTGCATTTCTAACATGGTGATTTTCGCTGCAGCGCCTTTATGATGCTGGCACATCTTATTGCTTTCCTAATGTGATGCGGCTCCTGCTGCTTTTGCTACTCTCTTGAAGATGGATGGATGGTTGAAATTGTCGCAATGTGGCAAATACTTTTAGGGATGGAAAAGGCCATCTCAAGGAAGCCACAGCTGCAGAGCCCTAGAACGCTGCAATACGCTCCAACAGATAAAACTCTAATTGCAGATTTTATTTAGGGACGTTTGTGAGAAGTACGGTCTAGGGTACAAACACGAGGTGTTGTCCAGCGTCATGAGGGTCGCAGACAGCGAGTTCCACTGCATGGGGACTCTCCTCAGTTGGGAAAGCAAAGATTCTAAGACACATAGGGTCTGCTTCAGTCGATGCTTGTGCTTCGTCTGTAACGAGTTGCAGCTGGTTTGTGTCCTCATTATAGTGCCACAGCATACTGAGACCTTCAGTATCATAGTTACAGTCGAACTGCAGCACTGAGTGAGCCGTGGGGTCGCCTCCAACACACGAGTTAAACCCCTTTTGCCCTACAAAGAGTTTCCCACTTGAGCCATCAAACAGAAAGGCCTGAAGCAGTTACAGCAATAAGCGCAGCCATGATACAAAGAATCATTAGCCATAACAAAGCAGCAGAAACATGGTTATACAAGCAAAAGGTATTTCTGCACCAATGCGGTGAGCCCCAAAAACCCGAACACACACAGTTGAAAGGCGGAAAACGTAGTGAAGGCTTTTGCGCCAGTCTTCTAGCACAAACGCAACATGCACCAGAACTAGAGACCAAAGTCGGCACCTTGAATCAGGTGTATGACACGCGGGGAGGCACTGAAGAGGCATACAGGACGGCCGCTGAGACTTGAGTGTGAAGCAAAGACACCGGTAGCGAGGCCCTTGCACCAATGAAGAACTTGCAGGCAGGGGCCCAGGCTAACCTGTGTTCCGTGACTAAAGTGACACGGAAAGGCACCGATAGGCCCAGTTCCTCTTTGCATTGTATCAAGGCACGCGTTGATGTCTCTCCTGTAGATCGCCCCCGTTTTGGCGGTCTCCAGACTGGGGGCCTCCAGTTCCGGATATACATTGTCAAGGTACCACTGGAAAGAATTGCAGCCGAGTTTCTTTCTCAGCGCCTTTTGGGGCTCCAGGTCTCCCAGGAACTCGTCTGAAACCGGTGGGGTTGTTAGTAACACGTATCGCACGTACTCGTCCATCCACACATGCGCCGCCCTCTGCTTGTTCCGCGATATCTCCTCACCAGGCACCCTATAAACTTGGCCTAAAGAGAAAAGGCAGCAGCGAACACATAAACGCATGGTGCAAAGGATGAGAAGGCAGAGAAACGGTCACCACTCTCTCTGCTTTGCGTTGACACGTTAACTATCAGGTGTCCAAAAGCTGTCTCCATTGAACCCTTTGAAGGTTCCCATATATCCTTCTGTCTACCAGCCTTTGTGGTACTTTTGGCCTGTCCTTGTCAAGAGGTTCATATGCCTCTCTCTGGTAGAGCTCTCGGCTGATGAGCGAATAAACAAGTAGCCCTAAGATTTCATAGAGCCCTGCTCTTCACGCTCCACGGTATTTCCAGGCCGAGAGCTTAATCAGATGGGGTGTGATGCCCGACCTAGACTGCAGAGTACAATCAGTGGCTAGAAATCGAATTTATGACTCTAGTCGAGGTTTTGGATATACCTTTCCAGTATTTGTCTGAGCGGAAGACATGTGCCACTTTGCTGCAGGTGAGGACCTCCAGGCTACCACCGCACATCCAGACCTATAAATCAGAAGCATGAGAAAATGCAAGATGGCAATCTGGAAAGCAATGATTCCACAAATGTCGCAAGTAATGTCGAAACCAGAAGCAACCGCCAACGAAGCAGGAGCAGCAGCAAGAATAACGCTAGGGGATGGCAATACCTTAAACGAAAGCTCAAATTCTTCCCCGGCGTACAGACGAAGACCCTCGTCATAGCCACCCAGCATATCCCACCTGTAGAGACAACGAGGAAAGCGCAAAACAGATAACCCTCCCAAGGCCAAGTCAAGGCTAATGGATAGGCGTTCATAGGGGGGGCACGCGCAAGAAAAGAAGACTACCAGTGGTATGTAGGAACAAAAGGTGTAGGCAGAGGGAAAGGGGGGGCACAAACGTAGATACAAGGAAGCGAATGAGTAGGAAAAGAGGCAGAAGGCAGTCTGTTAGCTTTACCGAGACAGAGATTCACAACGAGCACCAGATACACAAGACCGAGGTATGCCAAGTTCATAGACTGGATGTAAGGAAAACGCAAGAGAGTTTTAGAAAACCACTCATGGGAGCACGACATTGAAACCAGGGCTGCCACACAGTTTGGCTTCCCGCATAGCTACTTGTGTTCCGCACCAGTCCTTTGCGATGGCGAAAATACCTCCAGGCATGATGGGGCTCTCAATGGGGTCGGTGTCACTCTTGTTCAAATTAATCTTTCTTGCCCTGATATCCTCATCACGATGCATATGTCCCAAACTCCAGTTAAATGCAAGGGTATCGATGCCCCCATTGTGGATCTCAAACGTCTCAGCATCGATAGAGGCGATTCGCGGCAGGGCAGCCGTCTTGGGACTCTCTCGGATACGCTGAAGCAAAGGCTCCAGCCAAAATGGCAGGACCTCCACATGCGAGTCAAGAAACACCAGCACGGAGCCCTGTGCAATAGCTGCCCCTGCAGCCCGTGCCCCCTGCAGCCGCATCAGTAAACGCCTCGAATGGGGCATAGCGCTAAGGACAGAATCCCGCAGTAGGGTGAACAGAGACACTAGAGGCTGGTCCATAAGGTACGAGGGCTGTGTTTCAGAAAGAGTTAAGCTAGTCAACGACGGAAACAGAGTGCTCCTCGAAACGGCTCAGTTTCACAGCACCTGCAAAGCTACAACAAAAATATTGAAACTATCGACAGAGCAACAGTGTGCGTGGACGGCAACAGGCTACACCAGCAGGATGATAATCAGTGACCCTGCGACTGCAGCAGGGGGAGAGGAAACACAATGGCAAAACTAGAAAGAGTAGTGGCTTTAGGAACACGAACCATGAGGCCTCGCCTCTGGGGTAGCCTGAGGAGTTTGGTCTTTGGTAAACCGACAGCCACATATTCCTCCAGCTGGTTCTGCAGCCAGGGGTGCGTGGTGTGATCGGAGTTGTCATTGACAACAATAATTTCCTTTAAAAGCCCGGAGGGCGTTCTGTTGAGGACCGAGTGGATCGACCGCAGCAACACCGACAGGAGCTCATTGTGCAGTACGATGATAACTGACACTTTGCCTCCAAAAGCAGCAGACGATGGGGAGGAGGTAAATGCAGCAAACGTTTTGCGATGCGCAGCACAAGCGGAACTTTCGAATGAGGGGACTGCACGGTCCAGACTGATCGAGTCGCTGAGTGCAGTGTTGAAACAGTATCCTGAAAACCAGCAAGGTACAAGCTCGAGAGGAGCTATGAGCCCCAAGACAAGCCACGCAACATACGAGCTACAGCAGCAGAGTAAAGTAGTCTACAAGGATAGAGGTAGCAACGGTGGTAGCAGCGGTGGCAGTATGTATGTTATCGCCTGCTGGAAGTACAGAAATGGCCAGCGGCAACTAAGCGGGGGTGAGCACGACGAAAGAGAGTCTCATGATGCCACCTAGCCTGTAGGAACCCTCTGCTACTTCAGGAATCTCTTACCTTTGTAGGACGCTTCAAGCTGCTCACGATTTTGCTGTCCAGGAGGAGCCGACGGCCGCCAGAGCGGATCTCCCCAAGGGTCAACACCAACTCTCCCGTGGAGCAAATCTGCGGTTGCATCTCCAAACACCTAAAGCAAGAGCATGGAAAATATAAACAACCAAAACGACACCATCTGGAGTCTCTAACAGTCCCGTAGCGATTCCCCAGTATCATCTACACACAGCGGCCGGAAACTATAGGCGGGTTCCCTCGGCCTCAACAGCGAGGCTGCAGTCAAAGAGGTAGGAGCCCCCGTGCATGTTGTACTACGTGGGTTAGGTTTCCCAGCGACAGTGGCCCCTTGTAAATACGCCCCTTGAAGGGATGCCCTTATAGTCGAGGTATCGCTGGAAAAGGCCTCCGCGTTGGAAATTGTGTACCTCTTCTTTCCTTTGAGTTTCAAGGAGAAAGGCCGGCATCCCCTTTACTAGGATTTGTTTAGAGTTCCACTGCATGTTTTGTTTCCTTGAGGTGTCAACTGCATCGCTCAGATCCCTAAATCGTAGCAGGGAATCTCCCAGACCGAATCCCAGTTGTTGCGCACTCACAAGCCCACTGCTGCACAAAAATAGCACCCCCGCCAGCAGCACTGACACAAACAAAAGGCCTAAGGCCGCGCCCAGGCAGAAAGAAGCCCAGAGAGCCTTAACCAATGTCCAGGGTGCCAGGGGGGCCGCATGTGGCGCTTTCGTCGACTTTGAGCGGCGCTCTTGGGCATTCAGTGAGCCACTCAAAGAAACGTCTCCTCCTGAGGGGGAGGTCCCCCCCTTCCGGCGATGCACAGTCATCTCTGACTCGCTGCGCTTGGGTTTGTGAGCCCCCATTTCACACTCGCCTCATCGACAGACTAGTTGGCGGAGGCTACTTAAAAGAGAAGGGCCCTTAGGCCAAAAACTGGGGAGCAGCAACGAACCGTACAATCATGAAGAATTTAGTCAATGGGAGAGCTTATGTAGGAAAGAACAGTGCATATGGCCCCAGAAGACCTCCCAGGGGGGGGGCCTTAAACATACAGGAGACGGCAGACTCGGCCTAGAAGCGACACGTCGACGGGGGGACAAAAAGTAAAAGGCTGAATCTTGCAAGAGGAGAGAGTGTGTGAAAACGTGATGTGTTGAGTAAGATGCAACGCATTCAACGGGATAGACACTTGCGTCTACTGTCTTTGCGGCATGTTGCACGTAAAACTGGACGTGAAATACATCTTTAACGGTGCTACTTCATTTCGACTTAACGATTACGCACTCATGGCGCAAAATAATGTAGCTATTATTCAAAGAAAAGAAATATGAACTATGGAAATGGTGGAATGGCATACCGTCGAACCGCCCTCCAATGACCGTCTCACGGTGCTGGCATTTATGTTGATGCGCACCTACACATGGCATATTTCCTTGAAAAAACGTCATATATTTTTATAGTCGCCTTAAGTCTTGAAGTAAAGCTTCAAACAAAAACGAACAATCCGCAATGCTCATGAGCTTCTTTGTATCAGCTCACCTATCGACTAATTACTAGGCCCCTATCCAGAGTCCAAACCTTATCAGATGAAATCTTTGGAGAATAATATGTTTGGATGCATTACAGCCCGGTTTTTGCACGCTTTTATTGGCTTACTGCATTGTAGGCTCCTCAAACCCTGAGGATCTGTCCCCAAACAATGTATCATCCCCACATATGGCCGCCGTCTAACGAGTAACTCTCCCTATAACTCTGTATTTGCTCCCGTAAGACGCAGGTAATTACAGGCATTAATATGCGGATTCGTATAGAGCCCATCGTATATGCGGCACCCGAAGCCACACTTACGAGCTTTCCAATTCACCAGCTATATGTGACGACTTGCTTTGTGTGTTCGCACACTCTGTTAGTTGCACATAAGCGTGAGCTTGATGCACCAAGTCACATTGTCACGTGCATATGGGCTATGTGGTGCGTGAATGCATGTCTGAATGCCCGTAAAGGCGCGCAGGGGCTCCCAGCCTTGCTGCCCCTCTTCCCTCATATCGAAACATTTAGATGCACCGTTACAGGCAATAATGATATCGTTTAATAAACACTCAAAAACATCTCACGAAGTTTGCTTTGAGTAAGTATTCCGACACAAAGACCGTATACGAATCACCATAGTTAGTAGCACCGCATAGCTCAATGGAGCTTTTCCCCGCACATTCCCGGGTTGTCGGTGCAGTGTAATGTCACGTTTTCCCAAAACAGGTAAGTCTTGTTGATCAATTTTTGATTATTCAATAACCTGACTTTATTTAGCAAAAATCTGAAAGGGTATATCCCCTGCCGACGGAAGTAGACGGATTTACTCCACTTGTTGAGACACGGCTGGCCTCCAAGCTAGTATGAGCGCAGTAGTTTCACAGTTGAAAGGCAGGCATGACCTGTCAGCTGACTGTAAACCGGACAGGAGTATATTGAGGAGTTTATGCAGACCAGAAAGCTAGGGTAGCCGTAAGGATCGGCAAGCAATCGGATATTTCATCAGCCGGCAGGGGAAGTTTATGGCTTTGTACCCGGCATGTGACTTAGGTCATATGTATACTTAGAGGGAAAAATTTTGGTGATGGCTATATTGCTGTGAAGGTAATTGTCTGCCTGCACGGATTGTCGTAGTTCAAGCCTTCAATCAACCCGGTGTAATTGGTGGAAGCCGAATTACGCTCGAGTACAAGGTTTAGGAGACTTGAGAAACCTTGAGCAGGAGAATCCATCAATAGATCGGTATATCGAGAAATATGAAACTTCCATTTGCACCGGTCACAGAGTAGACGAACAGCTGCTTTTTCACTTATCTGTATCAGCCTACTCAATGCGTCGAATGAGATGGTCGCAGGGTGGGTCAACTCTAAGCCTCTGAGCAAAAGCACAATGAAATGACACAAACGTTCCTTGTAGCTGACATTATATGGAACACCTTAAACGCTATGCGGATCAACAGTCTACAATACGTTCGAGTCTACAGACATATCCTTATAATTTCCATTCATCCTGATAACAGCGACAAAACGGCCCTTCCAAGTGGCGCTCGCAAAGCCGACTATGCCTGTATGCTCAGAAGTTATTACTGCCCCACATTAATTGAACATCAAAGTACTGGGGAACCACAATGAGCCTATCAAGCAGGGTGCAAGAGCTGTGTACATGGACGATGTCTGAATCTATAACTGAAACATTCAACAGGCACCTTTACACCCTCTGCGCTTCACTTATAAAAGCAGGGGCATGTGAAGCCCTGCAAGTGTTTGTTTTGGATGCGAGCAGTAGTATTTCGTAATAGCGCCTTTTGCGGATTACCTCACAATAGTTTTGCTTTTAAAGGAAATTGACCTTGAGTGTAAAGGATATGTTTAAAATACTCAAAAAACTGAAGCATACTTTCGACCTAGCTATTTCTGGCTTTAGCGGCATTGATGCCCACTGGCTCAATTGATATTTAATAACCCCAAAACACCCACTCGGCTTGCACGGAGCAATACACCCTTGTACAAGCTGGCCAAACACAGAAAGTTCTAAGCGTGCTGCACGACACCATCACACTTTTACTACAGTGTTTTGGGGGCAAGAACTTCACTAAACTCGTAAAACATCGGGGCTGAGTTCAAGGCTGCATTCGTATCCTCGTAGGCCAGAATCAACTCGAAATCATGCCCCAAGGCCAACAGAACGTTTCGGGAGCATAACCGTGTCTTAGTATTGTAACGACGGAGGAATACTTGTTTACTTAGAGGAAGTTCTGGTTTACAGACATGATAAACCTCCGCATGCCAAATCGTTGACAGTATTGGAGATTCGATGACCCGGCTAATTATATCTAGTCGAAAAACAGCATTTTCGTTCTTCCTTAAATAATCAATCCATAATGAGGGTAAGATTACGGAATAGCCCCTGCTTGTTAGGACAACACTGTTGAAATATTGCAAAGGAGATTCTAGAAGACCACCCAGGTGAGGCAACTTCTCCACACCGCGAACAACTGCCACTTTTTTACGAAGTACAGCGTTTGCAGATATTTCAAGGTCCTTTGCAGGGCTCATGAATAAAGGCGGGTTGTTTACTGGACTGGGAAGCATAGAGCAGCGGCGATGGCCGTGGAACACAGTCTTGTCCACATCACGAACTTGTATGGTCCCTACCGTAAGTCGCCGTATGGTGTGGTGGAAGTCGCATCGCAGTAAGCAGCTGGACGATTCCGGAACTGTAAAAGGAACATTTTGGATTCATGAAAAACAAGACACTTGATGCTCAGTGTGTATGCAGTAGATGAACGAGAACGGATAGCCCTAATGCGGGTTCTGGCCCAGACGAGGAACCTGCTTGTGGTTGCGACAATCTCAGTATAGAGATACTACCAAGCTTTGCAGTACGTGTTCGAGCTAGAGTGAACGCGATCCATGCAACCACGCATGATAAGATGCCATAATGGAAGTTCAGGGTCCACTCATCGAATACAACCCTGGTGTGAGCAAGGGGAACGCCGATGCGCTTGCTCATTTCACACAGTGAAGCACTGTCGATACAGTGAAGCTAAGATGGGTTTGCTTTTATTGCTTTCGATATCATGTCCAGAGAACTATCCTCCAGCTTACACTAAGGCCCTCACTATCAGACGAAGAAAGGCAACAGCCCCTTTAAAATCCTTATTCCTGGAATTTGGTGGTGTAAATATGTGTAGCACATTTGCGATTAAAGAATCTCACTGCAGTCAGCGCAGGCCAACAACTGCATGCATTGACAGCGAATGCTCAGTGGACAGTAGGCGAATTCGAATTTTGTCGCGGCGTACTTGTGATCTGCATCGATGGAGTCTGGCGCGTCTTTGCTTCCTTCGACCACGTCTGTCACCAGTACATCCTATACCAATCGACCATCCTACAGGTCACAACTTTATTACAAAATTCCCGAGATGCATGTCACACAATTCTATTGGTGCGACATGCACAGCGACGCCAAGTAATACGTGAAATCGTTGTCCCGCTGTGGGGGAGATGAATATGTCTCTACGAAGGTCGCTGACGCATTACCACCCTTACACATTTCCACCCCGAAATGGGCAAGTATCTATGGACGTGATGACAGTGTTACGCCGCACTGGAAATGAACATGATGCAGTCTTATCCTCGGTCAATACCATCAGCAAGATTCTACGATCCATAAGCAGATCGGAGATATCTGATAGCGTTGCATTAGTTTTGTGTGGAACACACTTCCTGGTGTATGATAAATCAACTACTGTTATTTGTTGGTGTTGGTTGAGTACGCTTGATTTGCTGTGATTGGCATATGGCTCTGTCACCAGCACGTACGTTGATGTTGAGATTTTTCACTGTTTCCTCGGGATATGCCTTGCAATAGACTCCATTAGAAACAGCGAATAAGTAGGAATTCAATACTCGAAGGATCAGAAAGTCTCTCGGACACCTTGCTCAGCCCCATCAATGGCCTGAGCAACTACCCCGCATTACACAAACCGGTATTGCAAAGAGCGCATCCTTGGCGAAAAGGAGCCCCAAGGGCAGACTGCTCTCTGAATAGTCCTAGCTGGTGTCTTTCTGCGCTTCCCGAAGATGCCTTACACGATGGAGTAGGGCAGGCGCACGAGCTGACGAGTGCAGATGCTAGGGCAATCCAGAGCACCAACGCACATTACCAGCATTCTAATTCCCTAGCTTCCGACAGAAAGTTGTATTTCTATAGTCCTGTAAACACTTACAGGGAGCAAAAATTCCGGCTTTCTGCACTTTCTCTGTCCCCAAACCCGTGGAGCAGCCTCTCTAATCCATACAGGGGACTAGTCTTGAATACGGCTAGCTGCCCTAGCTCTCATTTCGCCGCTTAGTTGTCCCCCAATCTGGAATCGAGCGAGCGATCTAAGTGATGCTTTACCACAAGCCTTACAATATGTCGAAACCTGAAACCGAGGAGACGCCTTTGGATGCCCGATCCCTATCCTCCGCCCCCCTTCCTCCCACCCCAACAAAACACGATGTTGCAAATAGTTATCCCAAAAGAAGCTCCAACCATCTAAGCTCTAAACCATCGCATGTAACGATGACTAATAACCCATTTTGCCTATACTGAAGGACGGTATTTCTCTTATTTCATACAACTATGCATGTCTTACTGAAGTGATGTATGGTACAACCCATACCACAATAGAGTCTAGTAGACGGGACATTATTTTAAAATGCATTTTTTTGCATTGAATTGTACCATATTGTTGCCATCTTTCCTTCTTTCTGCGCAAAACCACCATGATAAAGGCGCATGGGGGCCGAGGTCTGTCGTGGTGAAGTAAACTAGAAAGGGACAAGCAAAGACCAGCTTTGCAGCATGCAGATGAAGCCGCCTTTGTGGCGAATAGTTCAATAAAGCCACCCTTTCCTTGTCCTCAGCCAACACAGCTTCGGCCTGAGGAAGAAAACAATAGTTTGAGGGCACATTTTAGCAGCTCTCTAAGAACATCAAGCACACCCATCCTGTTCCAAATAACAACTCAGCTACTAAGCACAAATAAGTCAATCTTATAGTGTGGAGCCAATTCTTTCTTACAACAAACAGAATATACGGGCACCGCAAATGATAGAAACGATTCCACACATTCATCAAGCCATTGATGGAGTGCACACAGCGCAGTAAAGGCTCCTCAAATGTAGCTTGGCGTGGCACAATGGAGGCGGAATCGCTGAAGTGGTCCGGGTGCAGCCCTAACGGACGCCGCAAGGGATCAAGAACTGTCCCCTTATAGATCACATTTATGTTTGCCACGCTGAATAGCAGTCCATTAACTTTACTTCCTTAGCTGCTCTGCATGTCGCATTATTGCCGCCTTGCATGTCTATCGACATTTGGTTTGGGGGTGTCTCATCTTGTCCCTGTATGAGACAAATCTGAAGCCTGACGAGCTTGACCGGGTTTCTACACGAGATATGGTTGTCCCTGTGATCAAAAGGACATGGCAATACACAACACAAGCTTCTTGACACTGTAAGCAAGTACTGCAATAACTGCAACGAAACAAGAAAGCATTGGTATTCAGGGGCTCAGAGAAAGCCTAATGCTTCGCAGGGTTCTGGGCACTTGAAGGCATTCTTACTGCCAGAGTTATAGGCGCTCAATGGAAATATTGTAAGCATACTACTTAATGTACGATTGCAAATGCACGCGTAGATAACAACAGCAAGCGCAGTAATAAGCTCCAATGATTACTGCGGGAAATGCACTCGATTATTCTGTATACATACTTGGTTTATCAAATTACAATAGCCTAGCTATTCAGGAGCTCCACTCTGTAATCAGAAGAGCAAAGATACTAGATGTCAAATCCCACACGTAGCACAAAAGCCGTGGTTGTGGCGGAAAATTCAATGCCGCTTATTAAATACTACTGAGGTGAGTATTGAGTGCACTATTTGCTTGCTTGTGAGCGTCTTCATAGCATAATATCCTAAGCTCCATGTTATAATGGTGAGCTTTGTGAGCTTTTGTGGCCGCTTAGTATTGGTGCCAGGAGGTGGTCAAAGGATGCGGTAACGGGTTACTTGGCTATGCTTTTTTCCTCCACAAACTGTGGGATGAAGAGGAGCATATTGAAAAGATATTTGGAAGGAACATTTCATACATACCTCCTAGGTTTTCATCCTCATATGGCTTGGAAGTGAAGGTCTCTTGCCGGGGACTATACGAGTGGTGTTACACTAGCCAAAACGTAACTACCACGAAGCTGTAGCAAGAATGAGAAGCTTATCATCATAGCTTCTGCACGGTTGTGTGTTGCTCCATCGACATCATATTCTGTGAAGCGTGGGTTCGATCTCTTTAACATTGAATCTTGCGAGTGTGCAGATACCTGAAGCACATTTGCCGTTGAATAAGTCACGTGAATCTGCACACGTGTGTCTCTCTGTGGGTCAGGAGATATACAAGAGCCTCAAGTCCAACAATCAGTCCCATAATTAGCCATTTTTTAGTGATCAAGTGTTGCTACAGAACATAGCAACCTGTGTATTGGCGACTTTCTCTGGGTCAATGCATTGCCTTGCCCTGCCTGTCCCAGCATCTTAACCCTGCACCCAAAAGTTTCCAAGGCTTAATACGGAGAAAACATGCAAACCTAATAGAACCAACGGAATTCGTAATGAGAAAGAGGAGCTGGTTGCAATCCCTGTCGCTGCCCTCTGTTGCACTCGACTCTCCCACATGACTGGGAAAAACGCCAAGCGTAGGGTATATGGGCATAACCATTCGCAATCATTGTCGACCACTATATTTAAGTGCTCTTATTGGCTTTCAGGGTCCAAAAGGAGCGTATTCACGCAGTAAACCTAAAAGCAAAGCAAGCGTAAGTGGATGTCCTGGGGGATATCCAGCTGTCCGCGCTGCCGATGCCTTCAAAGTGACAAGAGTTTTGAGGGGCCGCCAGGACTGAATACCAATATTACTCCAGTATTTTCGTATCTCATTGCATTTGTCAAACCTTTGCAAAGGGTTCGCTCCACGCAGCTGCGGCAATAGCACGTGCTCACTTTCCTGAACGAGTGATGTCACCTACTTCGCGCATCCACCGAGGATCTTTTTTTTTCTTTTCCAGTCCAAGGCTTTTCTAGGCCTTTTTGGCTCGTATTTCAAAGCGTATTTTTCTGTAGAAGAGGAAAAGGGTTCAACCAGAAGCCTACAAATTCATTGCCTGCTCGTTGGACCACCCTTAGAGCATTTGAGCGCCGCTAGTTCATTCCTTTCTTGCTACTCAGACCAAATAAGGCTTGAGTCGGTAAGGAAACTGACAGCATAGCTTGATGAAAGCAACACTAGCCGGAAGCTCACCAAACACACGGGTGCCGTGAGGCCCCCTCCGAAGCATCTCAATCCCTTGCACAGAGAGTGTAGCTTCGGCCTTTCCCATTTGACACAAGAGGAGAATATCCCGGAGAGAATTTAGATTGTGAAGGCTCAGAAAATATCAGCAGCAACTGATCCTGCAAATGCAGCTGTAATTCGTTATCAGCATGGGCCGAATATCCCAAAACCATTTTACGCACTCGATCGACTCAGCCTGAGGAAAGGAGACAGCGGAGAAACAAGGGGGAGGCATGAATGGGTGAAGAAAATAAGGGGAGCCTCTGTGAAGGGAAGCGAACATACAGTTTATGCAAGGCTGGAAGGCGCAAGCAAGGGGAGTGCCGAAAGTGGATGAAGGTGACGGGGAACCCAGGAATAAGCTCAAAGTGGCATCTTCAAACCGGCACAGTAGGGAGGTACAAAGAGAATCAGGAATAGCCTTAGAAGAAATCTGAAAACCAGCTACATCAGGAGCCATGGCTTCCTATGACAGCGAAGCAGAACAGCCCCCGGAGATCGTGCAGCAATACAAAGCAGCCATCGAAGCTGCTAAGAGAGCTGACAACTCTGAGTAGGCTATAACCTATGACGCTAATGACGGCTTCAAGAAAACGTTACTTTCTGAGACGAGCTTTGGGCTTACAGTTAACGGCTTCACGGTCTGTCCAGGTTCATGTGTTGCCTTTGTGTGTATGCCATGGCTCTTTCCTGCCAAAGGACCAAAAGGTTTGGAAGTAATTGATAGATAGAGCTTTACTGTTCGTATGAGTTCAGGTTCGAGAGAATTGGCCTTGCGCGGGACTTGGGGAAGGATATTGATGGCAGGGCAGTGCTCCTTTTTGTCCCTTGCATGATCTCTACCCCTGGGGTCTCGTTGGAAAAGGCACTGTGAGGTTTGAGCATCAGAACTACGCTGCAAATCGAACCTGTAATAAGGCAAACATTACTGTTCGCATTTTGGGCCTTTGGAAAATATGGATGCAGCAGGTTACATGCCTGATGGCTGCTAAATCTCCTTGCCATTTGGGGGTTCGTGGACTCCACCTTGATGTTTATGTCTTGGTGCCTGCAGGAACTACTGCCTTCTGAGACTGACAGAGACGGGAGAGTCCCCATTCGTTCTCATATTTGCTGAATCCTTGGCCTCCTGGATTGGTGGGGGTACGCTTCAGTTTATTAGTGACTGTAAGTCTGGTACATTCTTTTACATGAATCCGAATTTTAAACATTTTAATGTCTAGTACAATCCTGCTAGCATTTAGAGTCGGGTGAGACAGTACGAAGAAGTCAACCGCTAGCTTGAAGCCCCCAGATTTGAAGTCGCACGGCTTCTCAGTCACCACAGGACCTCCGCTTATTGGGGTCTATGCTCTCAAAGGCAGCAGTGTCGCCATTATAAATCATATCTAACAATGAGGCTTCGTCCGCAACAGCTTCACTTGAAAAAACCAGCAGCAGGAGTATGCGTAATAGTACGAGGATGACATTTTACATAAAGGCCCTTGTTTTCCATGTATGTATGTGTTTCTGTCAAGGTTTTAGCCTGATCCCTAATCCTTGCAAGAAAAATCTGCAGCAGATTTTCATAGTGCATCCTACCGCGGGATCCCAAGGCCTCTTCTCTGTCATATCTTCCATCTACTCGGGCAGCTTCCCGAAAAAAGTTGTTTGGGTCGAGCGCCTTATCGATGTCCTCAAGACACTACAAATGCCCGTATCTGCTGCACTGAAGTGCGCCAAGAAGCACACGCTCAGGGCTCGTAGTTAACCATGTGCACTTTAGCGTTTTCAGCATGGGTTTTTGGCTTAGGGCTTTGGGTAGAGAGGGTTTTTGGCATTTTTTATCATCTTCGAATTGTTGCGTGAAGGGCATTCATCGAAACTAGACTGTTTACACATACTCTCTCCTGCACAATTCCAGCTACCTTGTACAAGTTTGAAGCTTTGAGAAGGCTTACGGTTATGTGGTGTGCCTTTAGGCTGTTCCCCTACCCAGTGCAGGTAGAAGAGGAACGTCGAGTGTCTCCTAACTCAGTGCTCACGATTTTTGGGACGCCACTAGGCGTCTTAGCAGCGCGAACAGGGGTTAGGGTTTCTTCTAGCCTAGCTTGTGTGCCCTACATACTCACAGAGTTTCGTCACTACCTCCTGAAGGCCCCCAACGTAACCACCAAGGACTTGCTGCTCCTGCAGGGAGAGTGTCAAAGTCTTTATGCCTTTGTGGGTGACATCGATTATGGAGACCCACGGGCAGACTGGACAGATACTCCAGTTGTCGCCTCTTGCTTTAGATTGCTTCTTGAGGGACTCGAAAGACCGTTGTTCGGGAGTGGCGCCTTTGAGAATATGGCATCGGCTGGAAGTAAGAGAAAGGGCTTTGGGTTTTATGTGTACTTGGATGCTCTTACTATTTGGAATTCGCAGTTTTGAATCGAGGGCGTGGTATTGGCACTAAGAGATCGACGATGATCCTCCAGAGTACGCGATTTGATGTATGAAGGCAGTTGCTTAGGGTTTCATGCACAGTGTTTGAGAGTTGCGCAGCTGTGTGCAGCTGCCGGGGGAGGCAAAGACCGTCTGGTGACAGAAATGAAAACAGTAAGTTGCCAGCAGCCTATTTCCCTTAGTAGTATAAGTGGATTAGCGGGGTGACAGGGTTAACATAATGGGTGTAAATTTCTTCTACTGGGTAATACGCAGAGTTAAGTTTTTAAATTTGCTCAGAGCCGTTTCTTAGGCGATCAGGGCTACAGACATGTTTGTGCATACTTCTATGCTGATATCGATATCCAGGTAGATATGTCCACGCTAATGTGCTAGCGAAACAACAAGGTTTGTTCTATTTTCTGCTGTAAGGAATAGTAAAAACGGAATATCTGTTCTGCATTGCTCAGCTCTTTATGGGGATTCCTCACGATGAGAAGCAAAGTGTTATGGTAAGGCTTTTGCAGTCTTGTAGTTCAAAATCTTGGTGAATAGGCACCGTATCTTTATTTTTTCAAAGTCAAATTTTGACCTTTGGTTTGTGAATGCAGTACATTTTGCTCTTCCTAAAAGAAATAGCAAGTCATGCCACACAAAACCAGGTGGGAATATGCTGAGCGCTGAAGCCCCAGGTTTAGAACCGAGATCTTTTGATTGTTATCCTATTACTGGAGTGCCCGAGGCAAATCTTGGACATTCATGGAGAAGAGAGAGACACATATGGAGTAGCGGCAATGCATGGGTCGAGGGGCGAGAGTCTTAGATCGTCACAGCAAATTGAACGGAAATAGATGGTCGCGTAGAGAGTGGAAGGAACAGCAACGCACGCCAGGGCTGGTATATGTGTTGTACTTGTGATGTTGCATGATATTCTGCCGCTGGCTTGTTTCTTTCCAGCTAGTTTCAATCTATGGTATGTGTTGCTCGAAAGCCTTTTGCCTGTGTTCTCCAGATGACGCCTCAAAAGATCGCCGAGATCTTTGCTGCGGCTTTCTTTCGTCCTCCTCAGCCAGTAGATAAGCGCCTCCCACAGGCAGCCCCTGTAAGCTGTCGGTCGCCGTTTTTTTCTCATAGTCCAGTGTGCGTTTCTGGCGTTGCGTGATTAGCTGGTATTTTGTTCCCTGCTTTCTCCTTTTCTCTCTCTACCTCATTCACTGTTTCTGCGTCGCTTCTGCAGCCACCCCTGGATGTGTCGCGTTTACCTTCGACATTCCAGCGTGGTGCGTATTTCCCATGGTACTCATCTCGCTGTATGATTCGCAGGTGTGCATTGAGGCCCTGACCCTTGCGATCACCAATCCCAATCTGGTACACGAGGGATATTCCCTGGTGGATTCCGGAGAATCATCATCTGAGGAGAGTTCTTCAGAGGAAGAGTCAGAAGAGAGCAGCAGTAGTGACGACGCACCAGCAAAGCAAAATGTTCCCACAAAACCACAGCTAGTAAAAGCAGTGGCTCCAAAAGTCACAGCCTCTCCCGCCGCATCTGCAGCAAAGAAAACAGCACCATTAAAAAAACGTAAGGTGGCAATAGCACCATCCCGTTGTCGAGGGCTATCTGGCACCAGGGTGTCAACCTGTTTGCAAGCCTATAATTACAGTTCACCGTGTATATACCTGATGTAATTTACCCTGATGCATATACATGGTGTGCCACTGGAAGCACAGCCGTTGATTAGGTACATATTTGCAATGCATGTGAGTACGCACATGCGTTGACACGTGTGCTCTTCAATCTATCCTACATGAGTATTCGTAAGTGTGTGATTCGCTCATGAGAAAGCGTGTATCTACTTAGATATACCAGAATACATCTTGCTGCACTAACGTACAGTGCGTGCATGTGCAGCTGTCCATTTATGATATATCCCTACTCTAAACGAATATGCAGATAGATGCACGCTTACGCGTGCAGGTAAGGTGCCTGTCCCAGTGAGTGGCTGTTCTTTCCTGTTCATTACCAGAGATCTATAAATCTTTGTATGTGCGTAATTTTCCCTATCAATACTTGTCTCTTCTTAGGAAAGTCCTCGTCCTCTTCGTCAGAAGCGGAATCAAAAGACTCTGAGGATTCAGATGATGATGACGAGGAGGAAGAGGAGGAGGAAGAAGAAGACAGCGAGTAGCGCACAATTGCATGAAGAGTCAGTTTGAGGGAGCTCTTTGTGACTCCTAAGGCTGGCTTTGGGAAAGCATAGCCCTGCCTTTTAGGGTGGAATTACCTACTTCCTGAGCCCTTCCGTTTTTGCTATGATAGCCCCTCTGCACTCCGCTGATGGGTAGAAGCATTTAGTTTTAGGCATTACATCATTACCTACCTTCAGCTAACACTAATCCCAAATTATTGAAAGTCAGAAGCCCCCATGTATTGTCGCATTATGTTGTGCCGTGCTGACAGCGCTTCCTACTAGCTTACCACGTCTACACGGTTTTGCCAGTTGTTTATGGTTGTCTACCTAGAGTAATCTGAATCTGGGCTGATTATTTGAAACTTTTTCGTCAAATGCAGCTACTGCGTAATATTTCTGCGGTGCAAAAGAGGGAAATAACAGTGTTTCTGGCCGTAATCGAAATTTTTTTTGTAAAAAGGAGAGAGATAGTATGGGCTTTCTTCGAAAGCCCCTGACGGGGATATAGCAGACAATTTAAAGTCAGATGATGCGTTACCACTCATGTTGCTATTGTCGTCTGAACTCTGTGGAAGAACCTCAAGTCTCGATTTTCATGCCGTAGAGAGAAGCCTCCCAACAATGCATCTGCGTCTATTACGGGAAATAGTGTCAGCTGTTTTGGAACTACAAGCAAATGAAAAAAGGCAAAAACTTGGAATAGCCGGATCGAACCCAGCGCAAGCAGGCTGTTTTGCCGGCAGAGGAATGCATCAAGGACACGGAAAGCCGTCAAGCCGGTTGTGGCGGTAGTTGCGGGGGCCCCAGAGAATACAACCACAGTTAACTTCCCACATCGGGTCAATTGTGCTCTTACACAAATTCATATGAGTCTACGTGAGTTGCTGTTAGCGCAACACTAGATCGGCTCTCACAGGAGACTACCCAGCAGTTGATTATTCCTGTTCACTCATTAGGGCAGCCACAAATGCTGTTTGCTGACGGGTGGCACAACGCCAGGTCTGACAGGACTCTGACAGATAAATGCCGATCTACTTCCTATTTAGCGTTGTGCTTAGGCAACCCATGTCGACTCATATGAATTTGTGTCGGGGCACAATTGACCCGTTATGGGACTTAAGCTGCGGCTCGATTCTCTGTGGCCCCCGTCACTCAGCCACAGCCGGCTTGGGGGCCCTTTCCGTGATTTCGATGTTGAACCCCTGCACCACGGCGTAATGCGAGGTATGCCATGGATGAAATGATGGAAAGTGCGCATACGGCCACAGCAGCGCACTATGAAGATTGGCGTGCAAGGAACACTAAGAGGGAGAAAGTACTGGTCTCTTTAACAACGCTTACCCCATCTGTGGTGATTATGGTAGAGTTGGCGCCTCGACAGGGTTTGGCAAAGTCTTTATGACGGCGGCTGGGCACTGCCCATCTACACTGTACGCGCAACTGGATCTATATCAGGATTTTGAATTGACCTACACCAGGAGGGGCGATGTCAAGAGCTTTTTGCATGAGCTATATAATGACGAACTCCCACGCGACGTAGCCCATCGCATTGAACAAATCCCTCGATGGACCCCAAGCTATGTTCTGCGAAATAAAAGCCCGTAGAGCATGTACAGGAGATGAAGAAGCTGGAGGATTATTTTCTGAATACGCTAGTGTGCAAAATTGACCAGTTTGGCGCAGAAACCGGTGCTGGTGCCGAAAATGACTAAAGTTGGCGTGTATGGGTTAACTCTAGGCCTTTGAAGTGAGATGTCGCACAACTTCCTGATGCCTTGTTGTCACGTACTACCTGGTGAATCACACGGTTGAGTGCTCTACTACGCATTCACCTCTACCGACGCATCCTTATAAATCCCCATTCATCCTGATAACAAGCGCACAACGGCGTTTCATAGACACCCTCGTAAACCCGAGTATTCCTGTAGAACATTTGAACTGTTCACTACCCCGGATAAACGGAACATCGTATTAGTGGGGATTCCTATGAGCCTACCAAGGAAGGGTGAACGGCTGTCTATATGGACGACGCCTCAGTCTACAGCCTATACAGTATCTATTTCATGCGCTCCGTTCCTTGGGCATCACGCAGCGCTGTGTGGGGGCCAGAAAAGTTGGTTCTGGTGATACAATTGTGGTTCCCAATCTCGTGTGCTGGCTGCTGTTGAGGCAGATCGGACGAAACCAAAACCGATCGAGTGGCGGCCATTACCTTTGCGCGCTCGCAGAGAAGTTGCAAAGTTCTATAGTCTTTCGTCTACTGCTAAGATTCTATTACTGGATGTGATAAGATTGTTGCTCCTTTGGCTGAGCCGAAGAAAACGCAGGCTATGACCTTAAGAAACGAAGCAAGACGCTTGAGCAAGGACGGTTACTACCCACTTTGAACTCCTTCGGTAATCCAGCTACCAAATTATGAGCGTCACTTCGTTGCAAAAATCAATGCTAGTAAGCTAGAGGTGGAAGCTATTCTTTTTCCACAGGTACTTGTTATTAGAACGCCAAATTGTTTCCCGCTGCACTCATCGCTTCACATAAATCAAGCAATGGTGTTTCGTTCGCGGCACGGAACTCCCTCTTGTTTGATGAAACGTGAACAAAAATTGCCGGCACTTTGTATGGGAGGCATTTTACTATTAAGACTGACAAGCAGTCTGTAATGTCCCTACAGAAAGCTTCTAGGATTTTGGAAGTCTTAGAGTTGTGCGTTGGTTTGGACACTTTCTTCACTGGTTTCAAGCAAGCACACTGTGGGCATCACCAGCGGGGCCGCCAAGTCGCCTTCGCGGTGCCGCAGCGATTCACAATTGTACAGCGTCGCCGCTACTTCCCGTAACGAGTCACGGTCTCTGTCAAAATCAATATCATTCTATGCTCTCTCACCATCGCATTAACTAGTATTGCCACAATATAGTGGCAAAAAGGGTGAAGCATTATCACAGTGCAGATGGCTTCTTGTGGCCTTTAAAATATGTGGACTCTCTCATTTGTACCTTCTGGCTTTGCACGCAGTGCCGCTTGGCGGAACAGATACTCGCGTTGTTTGGGCCATGATAGGATCCACACTACGATGGTTAAGGCCTCTTGGTCCGTCCGGTGGCCGCCATACCTGCCACGGCCGGGGTGTATGCATCGTCATGCCCAGATTGCGGCAGCGAAAGCAGCTCGATCGTTCTAATCACGGTCTTCCGCAAAGCCCTCTGGTTTATAAAGGGATTTGAACTCATCTAACAATGGACATTATTCCAGGTGGCTGAGCTCAAGGGTTAGAATAGCACTTACTTCGTCATCGACACACTAAGCACATAGGCCATTCGACCGGAGCTCCAGCTCTCTCACGGGCCAGAAAGTCGCTCAACATTCAGTGCAAAGTGTCTGAAAGCTTCACCCAAGGGCAATATTAGGGGTGGGATTCGAGGCTTGGTAAAGCGCTTTGACGTGCTTCAATGACCCGGCCTGTTGTGCTGCCCGAAAGCTACTTGGGGCATTAAATATGAATATTTACCTATACTCAGATCAAGACGTAGTACTCGACTCTTTATCCAATGCATATTAACTACAACTAGCGTACAAGAAACTCACATGTAGCTCAGGCCGCTGCAGGCAGGGGAGCGTTCCAGTGGAAAGTGGCTCCACGTGCTGTCACCCCTGTTTAGGCTCAACATGTTGCTTCTGAAACCCGAAGTACTGCTACTGCTGCCACTTTCCCTGCTGGAGCTGCTGCTCTCACGCGGCCATCATGTGAGTTAACAAGGCCTCGCACATCGCCAGAAAACGCGCGGTAGCCGCGAACAGCCATCCGCCCTAAAAATTGCGATAGATGTATTGAATAATAAAGTGTCTTAGACAATGGTTGGCGCTGACATATGCATCTGTACAGCACTCTTCGTTGATCGAAGTGCCGTGCCCAGCAGGCTAGGGCTTTGGGATTTTCAGTCGTGGTACAAGTTAAGCTGATGGACGCTTATTCTGGACAGACACACTAAAAACAGAAGCTTTATAAAGGTGTAGATATACAGGAGGTATAAGGGGATGCAGACAGGCCAGCAGATCGAAAAATGTGCCTTGTGCCTGCCGCTGTTGAGTCACAGCTACGGCACAGCAGCCGCGTGTACACCCCAGCACCAATTCGTTAGAACTAACCGTTTACCCGTAGTAATACCTATTCGATACTTGCATCTACATCCGTGGTACGTAATTTTTGCCCTCCTGAAGGCAGATTTCAAGGCATTTGTGGGGCTGACTGCCCCCAGATCGTACAGAATTAATCGTTCCTCCCGCACTGTCTGCTCACGCCTGTTGATGGCGTATTCTCCCTATCCTCCAATCTCTCGCATTCGTTATTTGATTACTTGCATGCCGTATTCAATGCAACAGCGCCATGCGGCGTGAAACGGAGCTCCGGACGGGCAGCAGGCACTCATATCCCCATGAGAGTCCGAAGTACCAGAGCTCCCCAATTACAAAAAGACTGAAGCCCTTCTGGAACCTCAACTCCTAGCTTCAATGCACGCACCACATGCTGTGTATCAGTGGAGCAGTACTCCGTGAAGGCCATCCCCGAACCCCGTGCGGGGCCGACCGGTCCGCCTCCCTTTGTACCCCTCCCTGACTGCGAACAGATTCTTTTCTCAACAGTCTCTCGAGGCCTCTTTGCGAGCTCTCCGTAGCTGCTCTCCTCACGGGTGGCCTTCTCAGTCTACACCCGCCACCAGAGCTCTGCTCGCAGCCGAGCTTCTCTCTGGGTCCATGGATCCTTACTCTACTTCTACCGGCGCTCCCCTAGGCCTTGGGGGACGTGGCCACCAGTCCACCTTAAGCACGCCGACAAACCACAGCGGTGGGGCTTCTATGGGGCCCCCGCTCTCCTATGGAGTGCCCAACTACCCATCAGGGGGCCCTCCAGGGGGACTCATGGGGAACGGAGGCCTCAGCGCAACAGAAAATCCGCTTCATGGTTCCATCGGCATGAAGAGCTTCCAAGCGGGGGTGTCCGACGTATCTGGTGTCGGGGGAAGCCCTTCGGGTGGACCCCTGTACACTTCGAGCACGAAGTACATACCGGGTACGCGTGGCTCTCCCAAATGCCCCTTCCCTGAGAGTGCCAGTGATAACTGGGGTAAACACAATACAGAGGCTTGCCAATCCTGCTCATATGGCCTTCCCCTGTATGAGCTTCTGGTGGGACCCCGGTGCGCGCCCGGATACAGAGGTGTCCGTACACCACAATCAGTGAAACAGGGCCTCTTACACAAAAGTTCTGCGGCGGGCACATTCCCCCCCTCCCTTTTTGTGTTCGCTTCTCGATTCCCTGCCTGGCAAAATTTAAGTTCCTTTCTTGCCGCCTACTCTTGCTGCTGCTCTTTGCTCGTCGCTTGAGACCCCTTTGCCCTGTCATGGCCCCTTCGCTGCGTTTGCACACGCTTGTGCTCCTGATCCTGTATTGTCTCCTGGTGGATTCGCCGCCCTCCCTGCTGCCTCCACATTTGTGCACAGGCGCCTCCTCTTCATCCACTTTACCCGTGGGGTCTCTCTCTGGTCCCCCTCTGTCTGCCGTCACGCCTGAAGCACTAGAAAGTGCCAGCGGCAGCTGCGGCTCAGTTGAAGAGTTTGAAACGATGGTTGGCGATCTGAGGAGGACATTCATCTCCTGGCTCAGGCACACTGAGGCCGAACTCAAAAGAGAAAGAAACGTAAGCTTCATGGTCTCGGGTGTATGTTCTCTACGCATCAGATCAGTTTAAGGACATGAAGCGAAGCGCTCATGTTTGCGCTTTGGTTCAAGGATTTGGTGCGACGGAAAAGGGAATTTGAAGAGGAGAAAAAGAAGGTTTGGGCTCTTTTTCAGCAAGACAAGCAGAATGAATACAATAAAATCAAGGCAAGCTGCTGTTATTCACCTTTATTGACGCACTAGAATTGTGGATCTACGGGAGAACAGAAGTGCGTAGCAATCTGCGCGTAGGACTTTGTGCTTTTAATAAGCTACAGAATGGGAGGGCTATAGGATGACAGTCAAGTGTGTGTGTTTGTATATGTGTGGTATGTGTATACGTGTGTATGTGTCGGTGTGTGTACGTGTGTATGTGTCGGTGTGTGTACGTGTGTATGTGTATGCGTGTGTTGTTCATGTGTGTATCTGCTCTTATGTCTTCGTCTCTGCGGGCTCTAGGAAGAGAGGCGTGCGGCTCAGGCTGAAATGCAGCAGCAGCTGAAGCAACTTCAAATTGAGAGAGAGGACACCCGGAGCAAGTTGCAAGTGGAAAAGCAGAAATTTCAGCAGGAACAAGAGGCAGTGAGGCGGAAGCATGTGCTGGTAAGTGCCACGAAGATGACGGCCACGACAGATAACAAATGCCAGTAGCCTCGAGTTTTCAGTTTAGAATGCATTGCCAAGCAGAGGAACCCTCACTCCTGTCAGAGGTTGGAGCACGTGCTTCTGCTTCCTTCACCCTATGCCTACCGCATCATATTTCTATGCATCCACAGGCCTGAGGGTTTTTGTGTTGGTTACTTTATTGCGATGTGCACGCAGGAGCGGGAACGCTTTAGACAGGAGGTTTTGGCCTTTGAGTCTGAACGGCAAAGAATTGTGGATTCAAGCATTGCGGCAGAGACAGTAGTGGATTTAAACGTTGGCGGGGTTGTTTTTGAGACATCACGGCAAACCCTCATTCAACAGCGAGGCTCCTTCCTTGAGAATCTTCTCTCGGGGAGGCACCATGTCGCGAGAGATCGACAAGGAAGAATCTTTTTGGATAGAGATGCAGAAATGTTCAGGGTTATCTTAAATTTCCTCAGGCAACCAAATGCCCCGCCGCAACCGCGGTAAGACTTTGGGATGCCTAGACTTGTACCGATTTATGGAGGCACGTATTGTGTCACAGATGTATGCGTAGATTATAGATGCTTGCTTCCTACAAAGTGTAGGCTTTGATCGGTAGTCCATCAGGAAACAGTGTGCGGTTTCGCTACAGAGACAGTGCGGAGAGCGACGCTCTGACGGTGGAGGCTGCCTTTTTGGGCATTCGTTTCTTTCCGGATTCTCTGATATTTGCATTGGGTGGGCATAGTGGTAACGAGCACCTGAGTTCTGTGGAAATGCTGGATTTAGAGAGGCAGCAGTGGAGACCATCCGTCCCCATGAAGACAGAAAGGGCGTATGCTGCTGCTGGCGCCATCAACAACAAGATATACATCTACGGGGGTCAAAATTTGGACTATAAGGTAAGCCAGAAGGGATTCGGGGTAGCAGTATTATATGCTATAGGCTATATAAATTGCGTACGATCCGCGGCTTCGGTGTTGTGGGCTTTTTGGTTGGATTCAGGCATTATGTGATGTTGAGGTGTATGATGCGTTGTTGGGTGCATGGTTTGGGGTGCCACCCCTTTCCGTCCCTCGGAGGAATGCATGCGGCACGGCTTTAAATGGCTTGCTATATGCGATTGGAGGCTTTGATGGAGAAAGCATCCTTGCATCCGTGGAATGCTTGGACACCCGAATGAAGAATTGGAGGCAAACGGCTCCTCTCAACTGCCCAAGGTGTAGCGCTATGTGCTGCACACACGGTAAAAAAATACCAACAGCCGTACCCAAGCATGAATAGCGGGAAGGTCAAAAAGATGGGTTAGGTCCATAATGTATGCTCTGGCGCTCGCATGTTCGTGCATGTGGTCTAAGTGTAGATGCTTACTGGTAGATGTGCATTTTGAACTTCCTTTTAGTGCAGTATGCGTTTCATAAAGAGTAGACCTCTTTTGAAGGCCTATGTATCCACCGTCTCGTCACATAGCGTATCTTTGTAGGTATAGGTGCTGCGTTCGTTTCTACCTATTCTAGTAGGACAATAGACTTCTGCGTGGGCATGTGGTTAGGCATAGGTTTGTCTCATAATGTTTGCTGCAGGCGACTCCTTACTGGTTTTGGGAGGCACTAAAGGGGAACGACTGCGGAGTGCTGAGGTGTATGAGCCCCGAATGGATCAGTGGCAACCACTCTCTTGTTCCATGATTGAGGTGAGCTGACTTGTTTCTCTGTCTTTTATATAAACTTTCTCCATCTCACGCCTCATCATCGAGGGTTAGGCGGAAGGATTTAGGGCGTGGCTTTGAAGCCCTCAGGTTGATGCCGTAGGGATTTGTATGATTTTTGGGCATATTGCTAGTGCTGTATGCTATGTGTATGCATGCAGGTTCGAAGTGCTGGGTGTGCTGTTTCTGCAAACAACCACATATATGCAATAGGGGGAATGGATTCGGGTCATCAGATTCACAGCACCCTCGAGGTTTTAGATCCCGAGGGAAAGCAATGGACCTTTCTCTCCCCACTGCCTGGTCCCAGAATGGACTGCGCCGCTGTCTTCGCTTGCGACTCCCTCTTTGTAAGGCACAAAGTCTGCGAGTTCGATAGTTGGAAAGTTTCCCGTTTAGGGTGCTGCAGCTGGTGGTTCCGAGGTAAAGCCACAAGCCTTCAACCTGAATGACGAAAAGAGTATTGGGCTACAGTTGGGATAACTCATTTTATTCGTCATCGGATCTAGCTGTTGGCCGATAATTACCTTTTTTGGGGTCAAACCCGATAAGCGTGAAGAAATTAATAGATGCGGAGCTGTGGCTTCCCGCGGATCAGACACGCGTTCACGAAGCGATTGTGTGTTGCTGCGGTGGGCGGTTTCTCAGGTTACAGGTGGTCAGGATGGAGAGGTACTCAAAAGCACATGCTTCTACAGTCCAGAAGCAAATGAATGGAGGGCAGGTCCTTCCATGCTGAACTCACGTTACGGCCACAGCCTAGTTATTACAACTCTCTAAGCTGGGATGCGTGGTTTGGAAGTGAGATACAGGCTGTGAGAAACTCATTACTGTGTAGCGCGTTCGTCTTCGTGCGGGGCGTCATAGTCCTATCAATATATTTCGCCACTATCGTTCAGCGTGCGTACAAGTAAACACACACTGTTCGCGCATACACTGCGCGTTTTTGCATGGATGCTATCTTTGTATAGCTGTGTACACAGATTTTTATGCATATGTGCATGCTTGTGCATATGCACGGAGGTGTACACATCTATGCGTGCTGTATAATCTTGCAGTTTTTGCTTACCGCCTGAGACAGTTTTGTCTGCTACAGCCCAAACCGTCGCTTGATCCATAGCGCTTCAAGACAAACCCTGAAGTGTTGCTTTTTGCGCGTCTCTTGCTTTAACCCTCTCACTGCCCATCAGTCTGGATCGAGTATTATTCGATACGCGACATGCAGAACAATAGTGGCACGCCATTTAACAGACTGCCTAGTACCAGTATGCGTTCAATTTTCGGCCTCGCCCGCGCGGATGCTCAGACTCCGATTATTCATTCGTGCCTAGGGCAGCTCTACAGATTGAACTGAAGAAAGCAATAATACAGGTTACCAAGCAAGGTGGTGACGTGACAAAAAAACTGCTCCAATGAAGCGGAAAGTGTCTCGTAATGGGGCGAGACCTAAACGTGAACGAGGATTCAGGGAGAGAGCATTAAGTCCACGCATTATTCGTTGTGCCGAATGCATGCTGCTTTATACCTCGTCTTCCTTGGTTGGAAGGCGAAGAACGGCTTTCTGTCGGGGCTTGCTAGAACTGCGTTAAGACCACGGGGAGGGCGGCGAGGTACCTTGGATCAAATGGCAAAAAATGCATTGTGAGGTGCTTAGGTACTGTTGTCACCAAAAGGTTTACTAAGGTCTATTACGTGTTTATCACTGTATTTTAGTGAGACCTCGTAGCTCCCTCTGGGTGCTTGAGGCTTCACCACACATGCGGGATCATGCCGAAAGGCCCGATTGATGCATTCCCTTGCAGAAGTCCCCAGAATATTGTTCCTGTCTTTTCTGATTCGTTAGTTATTGCCATATTTCATTAGATTTGCACATTTTATTTGGAAGCACAAGTGCTTCTGAAATGTGATAATATGCTCGGAGCCAACCGATAGAACAATTCCGAGAGCTCGGTGCTCTTTCGATTTTTTCTGGAGACGTATTGAGTCAAGGCGCCATTTGATACCAGAATTTTCCTGCTGCATGCCAATTAGACTCTCATTTCCAGTCCGCCTAGCCAGATTGTTGATTATCCACACGCTGTGTGAAACGATTGGCTGCCGAAACCCTGGCCGATGCAGTCATCAGAATAGGGCTGAACCTCTTCTTTCATAGGTACTTTTGGCGTCTTCTGACACGGCAGACAGCTGGAAGTACATACAGCTCTCTATTTCCCCACTTCAAAGCCTTCCGGCCCCCCGCACGAGCCCAAGCTGTACGCCACAGACCTTAAACTGCACGTAGTCCCCCATGCCTCTCAGTGCACGAGGGGCATCCATGGATAATCCATCCACAGTGGAACCGTCTTTGTTCAATAATGTCGCATGCGGCCCCCTTGAGGCTCATCAGGGGGTCCCTGCGGCCCCCGCTGTGGTTCCGCTAGGGGGTCTTGACGAACACCCACATACCTCTGGGGTATTGGGGGGCCCCTTTGACTCTCTGGCGAGGATATCTGCGTGTAGCTTGAATCAATGGGCCCTAGACTTCGATGGAAACTATCGCCGCATAGCAGAGAGCATCTGCATGGCTAAGCGACAGGGGTCAAAATTTAGAGTTGGTAAACCCGCTGCTTTCATTGGCTGTCTGTGGCCAGGTGTCCTTATGACAGATACACGTGCGATGTCACCAGAAGCTGTAGCACTTTGCATTCCAAGCAGTCCATATTCGTGAATCTTTTTCGCTTGCATTGTGTCTGTTGCTTCGGATATATCTACAGGCCCGGAACTCGAGACTTGCGGCTACGGCTGCGAGGATCATTTCCTGGAAGAAGACACAGAACGGCATTCCTGGGAGTTGATCGCAAAGCTTTTGTCGTCAAGTCTAACAGATGGAATACTCGTGGAAGTGGGGGCCCCTGTACTCTTCCAAGGAGTGAGTGCATCCACCCATAGTCCTCTGGGTCCGAATGCTGTCCTTGATGTGCATTTCTTTTGGCGATATCCTTCTCTTTCTGCTTCTCTTGCCGGCCATACTGCTAACGGCTATGTGTTTATTCCCGATACTTTGCCGGTTGTATGCGCGTTATGCCCTCGCGCAGTGTAAGTGTGTATGTATTCGTGTATGCAAGCATGTATGGATACATGTACGTGTATGTATAAATGTATGCATGTAAGTATGTATGTATGTGTAAAGCGTGTGCGTATGTGCGGTTGTCTGCTTCCCCTGATTAATCGTTGCCTGATTTCCCCATGGTTGCTGTACACCTGTCTCTCTATCCGCTGTTTGCGCATAGAGCCAGTACAATTGCCGCGTGCTGTTACTGAACCGCCGGGTGTTGCTGGTGAGGCCCAAGACGCAGCTGGTGGATGAGGGAGGGTACAGAGAGAGTCGATATTTTTCTGCGTGGAAGGGGGGCCCTCTACAGCAATTGCAGCTTCATGAAACTGTTGTAAACACGACTGGACAACAGACTGCCCCTATTGGTAGGATTGAACTCCCAACGGGCTGGCCTTAGCTTGCTCTGCCAGCAAGACTTTGGCCATTGGTACCCTTGTCTTTTCTGTATCGATACCCTGGTCTGTTTCTTTGTCTTATGATTCGTGCATATATCTCCTCTGTGTTCACCTTTTCCCCCCTGCTGCTAGTGCTTTCCGCAAACCTCTACCAGCCTGTGCCTCCTTGTATTCTCCCTTCTCCGTCATGCATCGCGACGTATCTCCCTTTGTAGTTTCATAGTGCCGTAATGCTCTGTGTTTTGAACCTCCTTCTCCCGTCGTATCTGCGGTGCGGCCCTCCCTCTTACGTGGTCAGATGCGTATTGCTGCTAGTGGGAACCCCTGGAAAAGAAATTTGTCGTCGATAATCTCGCAGCTCCTTTTGGCTTGTTTCGTCATTCTTAGGAGGTGCAGAAACTTCGTTTGAGGAATACAGACCCAGGGGATGGGGGTGTATGCTGTGTGCTCCGTCCAGGCCTGGCCTTATTGAAATGCCGCGGTTCGCTCATAGGCTTCGAGTGCTGCGAGGAGCTTTGGAGTCCATTTCCCTCGCATGCGGAGTCTTTTCTGCAGGGTGCAGACATAGTTTCTAATGGAAGCAGCAGCTACTTTCAAATGGGTAAATTTGTCAAAAGGATGGAGCTTCTGCAGGATGCGACGAGGCGTCATGGGGGCGTATACGTCTACTCTAATCAGCACGGATGTGATGGAGGCCGGGTGGTCTTTGATGGTGGAGTGGCCGTGTGCGTCTGTGGCACGTTCGCGGCCATAGGGCCACGTCTGTTTCTCCATGAAGTGTCTGTGCAAACTGTGACTGTAGATCTTGCGTTGGTGAGGGCCCATAGGCGCGCCAATCCAACCATTGGGAGGGCCTCTGCCTCTCTTGCGCCTTCTCAGCTGCTCCCGATCATAGCTGCAGAGATTACCCTTTCTCCTGAGGCAACAGCGCTGCCGCGCATGCTGCGGTACGAGGGCGTGCAACATTCTTTCTTTGAGCCCGCTTCTTTTGGCAATGCTCAACAAGTGACCTCTCAGGCGACGATGCCCCCGCCACTGAGTCCAGAAGAGGAGACAGCCCGCGCTGCTTCTGTCTGGATGTGGGATTATTTACGGCGATCAGGCATGCGAGGATTCTTTGTTCCTCTCTCCGGGGGGGCCGACTCAGCGGCCGTTTTGGTGTTGCTGGCGTACATGTGTCATGCACTCATTGAAACTGTGAGTCCGGTCGTGCAAGCCCCCACCGCTCTCGTGGGCTCCAATCCAGGAGGCCCCCTAAGGCCTCTATCCCCCGAGAACTCTCCGAGGCCTCTCTTTCTGCAGGAGCAGCTAGGGGAGGATCTGGGGGGCCCTTTGGGCGTCCTACGAGACTTGGAGAAAGTTCTAGGACTGTCTGCCGGCTCGCCAGACTTCCCTCGGGATGGTCGAGGGCTGTGCCACATGCTCCTGCACACGTGCTACATGGGCACCGCGCAGAGTAGCAGCACGACCCGGGACCTAAGTAACAGCTTAGCGGATGAATTGGGTGTCTACCACGTAGCGACTACAATCGATACAGTCGCTCAAGGCTTCACCTCTGTTTTCCAGAGCATCGCGGGCTGGAGTCCGCGCTTCGAGGCACAAGGGGGAAGCAGAGAAGAGGATCTGGCGCTTCAGAATATCCAGGCTCGCAGTCGGATGGTTCTGAGTTACTTGCTTGCCCAGTTGATCGCCCACGGACGGCGCAAGGCCCTGGGCGGGAGGGGCCCCCGGGGGGGGGCCCTGCTAGTGGTAGGCACGGGCAATGCAGATGAAACGCTGAGGGGATACTTGACCAAATATGACTGCAGCAGCGGCGATATCAACCCGATTGGCTCGCTGTCGAAGCCAGACATTCAGAAGCTCCTCGCGTGGGCGGCTACAAACCCCCCCCTTAACTGTCCAGTCCTCATGGTACGCGGGGGGAGTCTGAGTATGAGGGCCCCTGAGGAAGAGGCTTTTAGGCCTGTAGCGAGAGAAGTGCGGGCTAGCGCCATCCACATCCTGCACAGCGTCCCTCTTGCACGAGAGATCGCGCTTGGCTAGCGTATTCGGTTGTAGCGTTGAATTTTTGTGCCGTAGGAGGTGTTGAACCAGCGGCCTACCGCTGAACTTCGACCCACAGTTCCTGGAGCCCTCCCCCAAACGGATGAGGAAGAAATGGGAATCTCCTACGCCGAGCTCTCTCTGTTTGGCAAGCTGAGAAAGGCGTACCGCTGTGGACCGCTCAGTCTTCTGAAGGCCGTACTACTGCAAGGCATCTCTGCGCCCTCAAAAGTCGTGTACAAGTAAGTTGCGAGAGCTTTGAAGAGGCGTTCATCTCCGTGTCTCTCAGTTGCTCTTTCCTTCATTTGTTTGCACATCCCCCAGCCGTCGTCGTGTAGTGCGCTTTTATGATGCATGCTCAGGCGGGTCCAACATTTCTTCACTTGTTATGGCATGAACCGCCACAAGACCGCAACACTAACGCCTTCCCTTCAGCTAATGCCATCAACTCCCGACGATTCCCGTTTCGACCACAGGCCGCTACTGTATCCTCCCATGGGCTGGCAATTCAGGGCCATGAAGAGCGTTGCTCGCGCCTGGGGAGAGCTTAGGAACGAACCGGAGTCAGCACTATGAAGGGGATTAGAGAGGCACAGAGAGGAAGCGCACTGAGGGCCTTGCGGCTCCTTATGGGGGCATAACACCAACCCCCTTAACCTGCCCGCCACCCTTCCCTCCCTCTTCCCTGAACTGCACTCAAACTCATGATACATGTGTAGACACGTCATGCCCTTTTGCGCATAACACTAATTCCCTTAACCTGCCCACCCCCCTTCCCTCACTCTTCCCTAAACTGCACTCAAACTCATAATTCATGTGTAGACACATCCAGGTATGTATTCGCCCTCGCAGAATGCTGGCTGTATGGGCATTTGTGGGTTAGCCTAGTTGTACTTCCCTGAATAGAAGGGAATTCATGTTTGCACCCTCCACGCTACGTCTATCTAGAGACGCGAAGTAGGCAAGCGATGGCGAAGTCGGTGAGCCGTATGCGTAGACAAGGACCGCAACGCCGCACACAGCACAACACATTTCTGTCCCGTATACGTCAGTCGGAGCCATGGAAAATAAATAGAATCACCGTTTTCGCTGTTTCCGCAGTCGTATTTTGGCCGAATAAGGGCGAAATTCAACTCACCCTCCTGCACCTATGAAGGGTTGCTTGTGAGTACCTTGAGAGCCAGCGCAAAAAATGGTTAAGGAGAGTATGCCTGTGGATCTACTGCTCAGAAATACAATGTGTTCATGGCCTTACGAAAGCGTTAAAAGAAGTGGGGCTGCTAAAATGAAGCTTGTTCTGATAGCATCTAATATCGCTTCAATACACGGAGTTTGTCGAAATAAACTTTTCGTTGCCCAATTCTTAGTACTGCATTTTAAAAGACGGATCTACCCGTTTGCGAGGCACACTGCCTGCCTCGAGCCCGTGTTTAGCGTAAACCGCGAAGGCCCTCTCTTGCCTTTCGCACAAACGGGCTCAAAGGCGGCTTTAAAGATGGCAGCTACTGCTGCCGAATAAATATACGGGCGTTGCGTGAATAAACAAGGGAGGCGATGCCGCGTTATGCAGGCTGGTGAGCAACAGCCACCAGTAAGACGCCAGGGACTGCATGCATGGGGTAGTCTCACCATGCACCCTAGGGAGTCGCTCCTGCGGGGGCTTCCCGGGGTGAAAATTCTGAGGTGCACGATGGAGAGAGCGCTCGGCTCCTACATACGACAACCCATCAGAGGCAGTTACATCTGTGCACTGGACGTCTGTCTGTGTGCCTGGAGGCTGTTCACTCCACCAAGTTACCCCCTGCTTCGCGTGTGCTACTGTGCATGGAGAGGTGGTCCTTCCTCAGAGACTTAAGGGGCGTCCGCGTCTTCGGGAACAACTGGCACGCCTTCTTGCGCTCCCCCTTTCTTTTCTTTTCGTTTAGGGGGGGGCGGCGGAGGATAAATGATTCTGTGAAATCGATCTAGAATGAAGCGGAAAGCTTCTGCCCACTGGGGGTCCGTCTCTCCTTTTCTGCAGTCCACGACAAACCACTTAATCCTTTGACCTTCTGTCGAAGCAACTTCATACAGCCCCAGCCTGCTGACTAGCTGCGAAGGAGGCACGGGGGCGCTCTCTGGAGGCGTTCCCATAGTGTTTAGAACAACAACAATGCACGCTGCCTTGAGGCAGGCCTCATTCGCCAATTGCATGAGAATCGCCTTGTTCTCAGTAAGCCTGTCTTCTTGGGTTTCCAGAAGGTTGATCACGTAGACAACGCACCACAGATCAACGTAGCGGTAAAAGGCTGACCACGAACCGCGAAGCTGGAGGCACAAGACAAACATCTCAGCAAAAAACGACACTAAAGGAGATGGCACTGCCTTAGTCTTTCTTGTGACGTGCATGTATCCACGCGAGTTAATGGACAGACAGAATCATAGACACAGACAGACAGACAGACAGACACACAGACAGACACACAGACACACAGACAGACACACACAGACAGAAACACACACATAGAAACAGATGCGCACATAGAAACAGATGCGCACACAGAAACAGACACACAGACACAGACAGACAGACACACAGGTGAATAGAAAGATGTACTGGGAGGAAAAGACCACAAACGGAAACCGAGAGGGGCGCATCTACATATAATAAATATTATGCGTAAGCGAAGTGCCCTGCAAACCCTAGTTCCCTCCAGAGCCTGGAGCGTGTGTGACCCTTCCTTCCTTCCGGCGACATCCTGATCTTCCCCAATTCTGCTTACTGCCAAAGCCCCCGATAAATCCCACATCCCGATCTGCAGCTTGCCCCTCTGGAGTCGCTCATAGTGGAAAGCGGAGGTTGGCGGCAAAGAACCAGCGATGCCTACCCACTCTGAGAGAGAGCAGGCACACACACACACAGACAGCGCCAAAGAAGTGCGTTCTTTGGAAACGGATTGGGGTGTCCACGATGCCAAGCAGATGCACATGAGCGCTTTCTCTGCTGAACGCGCACGAAAAGGAAGTGAATCGAGACGCATGCACACGACTCCTAAGCCCCCTGCTAAGCAGCGCAGAGCAGCCAGACCCCCCAGACGCAGCAGCAGGTAGCAGCGTCCTCGTCGTGCTTCTTCCCCCAAAAGAGCACTGCACCTGGTATAAGCGTCTTGTACATGAGCGTAGTCTTTCCCGATCCATCAAGACCTAGAAACGCTATCTGTGGGGGTGAAGACAAACCCGAACCCCCGTCTCTGACACCGCTGTAGCGCGAGGGGCAGCACCCCATGGTGCCTGTTCAACTGCCGTGTCGCTTCCCCCTTCTCTGCACAATAAGCGTGGCTAATGAAGAGAGCAGAAGCCTCTCGACAGAGAGAAAGAGGCCGTGCTGCTCTGAAGCAGCAAGTGGTCTTCTTCAGGCAACGTCCCCGACGCACAGATATACACAAGGCGCCCACAACGCGGCTGAGGAGGCGCAGGGCTAAGCGACTACGGGAGCAGCCGAGAGATCGAGAGATAGAATTCAAGAGCAAGAGAGACGGCAGATAGAGAGACGCAAGACAGAGTCTTCCCTCTTCCTTTTCCCTCTGCTTCCCTCCCCAGAGGGCACCAAGGGTGTGGGAGGGGGGCCGGGGAAGTTTTTCCTAGGGAGTTCAAAAGTCGACTTAAGAGAGGCTTCTTTGCCTGTGTGTAGACGTGCGAAGGCGGCAGATTCACGTGGGGGTGTCTAAGCTCCCGTGAAATTGGAGCGTGCGACGCGGGGGGGAGGGGGGGAAAGGGGACAGGATAAAGGCATCTGAAGGGCAGCAAAAGGAAGCACAGGCCGCGTAAAGCCAGGAGACTCAGCGCGCTCCTGTTGACTGCATGTATCTGCTGGGTTTAGATGCTGCTCCGCTGAGAGCTGTGGAGGGTAGGATGGCCTCCTCCAACGCCAAGAGGGTGGCACTCACACCGCGAGGTAGCGTATTTTCGTTTGGCGAGGGCATGCGCAAGGCATGCAAGTTGAGCAATGGGAAAGCCCGCAGTTCTACTCCACCCGTGCTTTGCGAGGGATGAGAAGCGCGGTGGGAGGCATATACACGTATGCATGTGCATGTGTATGCGGATTATGACATCGAGCACCGTCTTCGGCCCTCCCGCTGCAGAGTCGGCGGCTCTCCCTCCAAGCCCGTTCTCCAGTCTCGGAGCGAAGCACGCAGGCGGGAAGCATCACAAGTTGCAAGAGAATGTAGAGGCAGAGGCAGGGCGGCCTAATGCGGATCTGCACCCGCGCACGCCTGCGCGCCTTCTGTGCAAAAAACGATCTTCAGCGTGTTTTCCTGGAGAAAGGACGGCCAAGAGTGTGGCGATGATGAAGCGCTCCTCTTCTGCCTCCCCGTCCTCTTCTCTGCTCAAGCTCGCCGCGTGGTCTGTCACAGTCCGGGCAGGCACCGCTGTAAGGCTGTCGAGAATTTCAGGCGAGGCAGCGGCGTTCTACCCGCGCTAATTAGCGCCATTTGCTTTTAAAGAACAGTCATGCAGAATAAAGAAGGGTCTCACTTTCACCTCCAGCAGCCGCAATCGGAAGGCTCCCTTCTGGCTCCCCCCTTCCCTAGCCGGGAAGAAGGGCCTTGCAGCTTCTCGCCTCCCTCCTACCGGCTGCCTTTCCTTTGTTCGCTGCCGCCGTCGGGAGTGTTTTGTCTTCTGAAAAACGAGTTCTTTAGAATTCTTCTTCACCGCTGATCAAGGTGCAGCTGAGGCCTCTTCCCTCGCGGATCTAGGGTCGAACAACTTCCAGAAGGAGGGAAAGTGCCTCTGCGAGGAGCGCGCAGCTGCTTCCCGCGTTGTGGGGGCTGCCCTCCTTCCTAATATTCGGCCTTCTTCTTTCTTCTCGCGTCTGTGCGTCTCTCTGGATCTCACGAAGGCAGCCGGCAGCGCTGCCTTGCCTCCGCATGCAGAGACCTCTCAAGAAGGAACCGAGAGGGCGGAGCAGTTAAGCTCTTTCGAGGCTTCTCCCCAGTCCAGGCTCGCAACCTCCACTTTCCCCACTCCCACCCACTCCCCCCTTCTCTCCAGTTCCTTTACTTCCACCACTTCTCCCCAGATATCCCTCCTCGCGCTGTCTTACCTGCAGCCGCCTCCCCTCCCCGAAGGAAACGTCTGCTCTCTGTATGCGCCTGCGACACTCTCCTGCTTGCTGCTAGCCGCCTTCTTCCTGGAGCAGCAGCCCGAGTAGCACGAACAGCAGCCCGAGTAGCCTCAACAGCAGCCCGAGTAGCATCAACAGCAGCACGCGTAGCATCAACAGCAGCACGCGTAGCATCAACAGCAGCACGAGTAGCATCAACAGCAGCCCGAGTAGCTTGCCAACTCGGCCCTTCCCTTTTTGCCTTCCGGCTGCAATGGTATCGACGGAGGCCACTATGGCGGAGCATTCTTCGTCCGAAGACGAGGCAGCCGGAGAGGCCTCCTCTGGAGGAGTTCAAATCTCGAAGCGGCAACGGGCACTTCCCCCCTCTCGGATGCGCGAATCGCGAAGTGCAGAGGCGTTCGCGCTCCCCAACGAAGTGCCTGCGGGAGATCCTGCCTCTGCTGCTGTGAAGAGCACCCTGCCACTCGCGCATTCTGTCCGTTCCGATCTCGGGGAGAGCCTCCTTCCTGCCGCGAGGCATGCGGGGAGCAGCCTTCTGTTCTCGTCCTGCCGCGTCATCGGGAAGGTGACAAGCGGTGTCTCCTTCGGTTTATGGACTCATGGCTTTGAGGCCTTTATCTGCTGCAGCGTCGGCAGACAGTTTCATGTGTATTGTTCGAAAAAGCTGCAGCTTCAGATCGCGTCGCCGCCGCTTCCCGGCTCCATTCGCGCGCTTTGGTGCGACGGCCCTGTTGTCTATGCCGGCGTGAAGACTGCGATCTTCGCGTTCAATCGTCTGCAGCTCCTGCGGATTTATGGCGCGGCAGTTCGCTCCGAGGGGCCCCTCCCCGCAGGTCCTCATGTAGAGCCTGTCGAGGGGATCCTGGGAATAGGCCCCTTCCTCGTTTCCCACTGCCCACGAGTGGTAGCCGTTTGGGAGAAGGAGACTGGCGAGCTTGTGCGCGTGCTGCCGCTCCAGGGGCCTCTCCGCGTGCAGAGGCTGTTGCACCCGGAGACTTTTCTCAACAAGCTGCTAGTTGCTCGGGAGGGCGTCCTGGAGCTGTGGAACGTGGTGTCTGGTCAGAAGCTGCATCAGTTCAGCTGTATCGACGGCGCGGGGAGCAGTCAGAAGAGCGGCAGCAGCATCACGGCCTTAGCGCAGAGTGCCAGTCCAGACGTCGTTGCAGTTGGATTCAGCAACGGCGCAATCTTCGTGATCGATTTGAAGCGGGATGAGCTGCTGCTCCAGTTTCAGCAGAGTGCAGCGCAGGGGTCAGTGTGTGCCCTCGCCTTCCGATCGGATTCTGCGGATGCCGCGAGCGCTGCAGCAGAAACTGCCGCTGCAGTGCTCATGAGCGGTGCATGCAACGGTGACCTTTGTGTTTGGGGCCTGGCGGAAGGGCGCCTCTTGGATTGCGTGCCACACGCACACAGAGCGGCTGTCTCGCACATCCAGTTTCTGCCCGCTCAGCCCGTCTTGATTACTACGGGTAAGGCGGGGGAAAGGGGGGGAAGTGAGGGGGAGACGCTCTTCGCGCGTGCTTGTTGCGAGCCCATGATTTAGGCGGGATGCTGCAGAGCTTATCAGACGTGTGTGGTAGTTGTGGTGGTAGTTGTAGTTGGGGTAGTTGTAGTGTGGGAGTTGTAGGTGGGGTAGTCGTAGTTGGAGTTGGGGTAGTTGGAGTGTGGGAGTTGTGGGAGTTGTGGGAGTTGTAGTTGTGGGATTTTAGTTGTGGTAGTTGGAGTTGTGGAAGTTGTAGTTGTGGTAGTTGCGGGAGTTTACTTGTGGTAGTTGGAGTTGTGGAAGTTGTGGGAGTTGTAGTTGTGGGAGTTGTGGGTGTTTGCGAGCGCGTATGCGGTGAGCGGCTGTGTGCGTTGAAGCCCTCGGGGATGTTTCTGTTGCGGTGTGCTTCAGGTCTGGATAATGCATTGATTGAGTGGGTAATAGATCAACCTGATGGCATTCCGCGAGAGCTGAAGGCTCGCAGAGGACACGTGGGAAGCGTCACGCACATGCAATTCTACAGTGAGCCTCTCAAAGTTTAGGGGTGTGTTTGTCCTGGGGTATACCTCTGAGGCGCGCGTTTTCAAGCACATTCGAGTGAATCTTCCTTTGTCAAAGATATGCCGGTGTCTGGCTGCAGAGCCAAGCGTTGAAAGGGCTGCTGTGAGTTGTCTTTTGTAGGCTCGGAGGGAACTGAGCTGCTGACTGCGAGCTGTTTGGGCGGCCGAGGGCACTTGGGATTTACGTCTATGATCCAGCAGCAGCAAAACTGCATCTTCTCTCAGAAAAATCTCAAGAGTAAACTGCAGGTACGGTGGGAGAGGGTGCAGATTTCATATTTGTGTGCTAATAGCGCCGGCGTTACAAATTGTTGCCAAGCAGGCAGCGCGTGTATTTCTTCTTCCGCGCGAGACGCCATGGGGTGCTGTGCTGTGAACTTTGTGGGTGCTGCAGTCAGTACGTCGGCTGCGGGGCATTGTCTCCATGAGTTTCTCCTCGTGGCGGCACTTTGATTGGGCAACCATTGCAACAGCTCACGAGAGGACGCATCAGGTATTCCTGTGGAGTGCGAAGAATAAGGCGCTCGTAAGGCTCTTCGCTCCATTCGTTTGCTGCCCGATGATGAGAGGCCGTTAAGAGGACGGAGGAGGAAGGAGGAGATTTCTCAGAAGGGCACGGGCGGAAGATGTAGTCGCGCGTTCTTTGCCCTTGGCTACTATGCGCGCACACTCCTCACACTTCAGCCTCACAGCCGGCGGGGGGAAGGGCTCTCGGTTTGTCTCTTTCCCAATCCCGCACGCGGACGCGGTTGCTCGCATGTGGGGAATTTCCGCAGTGTGATTCCTTTTCGTGCGTCGCACACGACGCGTTTTGTGGCTCGATGTTTTGCTGCCTTTTCAGGAGCCTCGCGTGCTGCAACCGCCTTCGCGCGCCGGCGTATCTGCAGAACCAGCGACTGCCGTGTGCTGCAGCTCATGCGGCAGTTTCTGCTTTGTCGGCTACGCGGACGGCCGCATGCACAAATTCAACCTTCAGTCGTGCCTGCATCGCGGCGAGTTTGTGCGAACCGAGGGTCCCCTTGCAAACGCCAGGAGTACTGACAACACGATGGGCGCGAAACCTCGCAGCAGCAGCAGCCGTGCGTCTCAACACGAAGCATGGGGGACGGCTCATAGAGGAGCTGTTTGCGGCTTGGCGATGCTCGGGCCGTCTGTTGTAGCTTCTGCCTCTTCGGATCCAGAGGTTTGTCTGCGTTATTTCTCCCGAAAAAGTGCCTGTAGAACACATCTCCGCTGCTCCGTCCTGCGTTGAGCTCCGTTTTCGTGCATGCACCTGTCCTTTCCCGCGCGCCGTTTTTACCGGCGTTGCTGCCCGCGCGCGCTGAACGGGGTGTATAGACTGCTACTGCCCTGCCAAGGAGATGCGTATCCGTTGATGGTGGCGTGCCACTTCGTGCTCGTTTGGCAGTTAATCCCGTTTGCGTGGACAGGGGCTTGCGGAGGGTGCTGCTTAGATGCACGCGCCTCCCGCGCCGCGTATCGGCTGCTCGGTTGCATGCAAGTGCTCCCTCTGCAGTCGTGTGCGGTGTATACGACTTGCTGCAGGACTGCTGCTTGGTGCTGTGGGACGTCCGCTCTCGTCATGCCCGCTCTTGCATGCCTCTAACGCTTCCTGGAGGTGGAAACGGGGGAGGCATCTGCTTGTTCAAGTCATCAGGTGTCTTGGTTGCGGTCCTCTTTCGGAACGGTGCTGTGTGCCTCGTTGATGCTCTGTCCTTAACCGTTGTGCGCGTGATCACCGCCATCGCCCCCTCCGTCCCCCTTCCCCTCGCCAGCTGCCTTTGCTTCTCGCCGGATGGACGCTGGCTCGCAGCGGGGTGTACGGACAGCTCCGTATGGGTATATGACATCCTTGGAGCCGCCGTTGTCGATTGGATGCAGTTCAAGTCACCCCCCAGCGATATCACCTTCGACCCCTCCGGCGCGCGCCTCCTCACGGCCCACCCACATGCACAGGGTCCGCGCACATATCATATTCATACACAGGCAGATTCAGCTGTAACGATCTTTGAATCCCACCACTTTACCCATATGTGTATGTAGTTATGTCTAGATAAGTCGTTTTGCATATATCTGTATTTACATACGTATGTGCATATGTATATGTATGTACATACATAAAAATGTTTCTATGTAGATGTGTATATTTATTCTACTCCACGGCTTAGTTTCCTGCCCTTCTGCCCGGTGTGCATTCTCTGTTGCCGTGTCTGCGGGCAGTTCCTTTGCGCCTTTCTTCCTGTGCATTCACGCTTCCTTGCCTATAGAGCTACGGGTCTACATATATCTCTATCAGAAGAGCACATGTTTGTGAGCGGGCTTTTGGAGGGCTATATTTTGCGAGGACGTTTCCTGGGAAGATGGGTGGCATTTGCGAATTGCATTAGGGGTCGCGTCTCGCTTTTCTGACACTTGCTACAGGCGGAGTTTTCGTTTGGACAAATAAGTATGTGTTTGATGCCTCGCTGGGTACCCCTCTGCTTCACGCCACCCCTCGAACGCCCTTCCCAATGGAGGATGCGAATGCTGCAGCAGACGTCGCATCAATAGCGGGAGCAGCATGCAAGGCCGAGAGCCAAGATGAAGAGGCTGCGGCAGCAGCGCTGATGCGGCAGTACAAAAGCAAAGCACAACCCCTCGTGCCAGGCGCCGTCACCCTCTCGGGGGTGCCTCCCGCGCATTTGCATGCGATTTTGTACATTGACGAAATAAAAGCGCAGGCCAAGGTAGGTGGTGTAAAAATAACACTACGAAATGCTGTCGGCTTTGCTCCGTTCGGCTCGGGGGACTAGGCTAGGCTAGATTACGCCAGACTAGGTTAGCTTTGGGGGTGCATGCAGCTCTTAGCGCGTGGGTGCTTTCATTGCAGCCAACAAGGGCCCCCGAGCCTCTCCCCGATGCGCCATTTTTTATTCCTTCGCGTTTTGAAGAGGAGGGGACCGTGATGATCCTGCCGGCCAGTGAGGATTTGTCGGAAGGGGCGGCGCAAGCGGTCGACAAGAAACAGAGCGATAGAAGAAATATTTCTCGGTCAAAACTCCAAAAGCTGCTAGCTATGAAAAACACTCGCGAAGGACAGAAATACGACGGTGAGGCGCTCTCATGCCAGTGCCGTTAATTGCAGGTAGAGACAGGCAGAGGCGGGCCGTGCCGTTTCTTCCTTCCTTCCCTGCAAGCCGCTTTTCGAGACTTCGTATTAGCGCACCAGTGCCCTTGAGTGTGCCTACATGCAGCCATCTTGGAGTATCTCCGCAGCTGCTCACCAACAGGAGTTGCCTTAGCTCTTGGGGAGATTGGGCCGACAGCAGGCGCGCCAGAGGAAGAGGTACTGCAGCCCATACATGCATACAGCAACCAAAAGGGAACGCAACAGCACAAAGCTGCATGCAGTCAAGAAGCCGCTCCTTGCTTTTCGTTCCCTCCATCCCCTCCGCACCCCTCCCCCTTCTTGGCACCCTCTCATCTCCTTCTTCATCGCATCTACCTCATCCTCCGCCCCAACACAGTTTCGCTTTTCGTTGCTTTGCATTCAGGTCCTGGAGATGCTTCGCTTTTTCCGATTCCATCTTCTACACAAAAATAATGCGGATCTGGTGCAAACGCTCCTCGCCGTATTTCTCAAGGTCCGAATTATTACCCCTGAACTCCTGTCATTGTTGCCTCGTGTCTCTTTCCTCCTGCTATTCAGCGCGTCTCTACAGGCTCTGTATCAGTGCCAACGGATTCGAGTTCTGCACGCCGGCGCATATATCGTGTTACTTGCTGGATTCCCTCTCTACTGTTCTCTATTGTATGTATGATAGCATCTCAGTGGGTCATTGAGCTGCGCTTTATGTTTCTTCCCTGGCAGGCCCATAGTGACATTCTGCTATCGAACGCTACAGCAGCAGATGGAGAAAACACCAAAGCAGCGACTGCCACAAGCTTATCTGCTGCCGCTCTACCAATTTTGGAGGAGCTAGAGGACATACAGCAGAGGGACTGGGGAGCCTTGGAGAAGCAATTTCACAGACTAGAGTGCTCGCTGAAGTTCCTTGCGCATCTACAAATGGATTGAAAACGACCCCACGGGAAGAGCCGGCCGCAAATAAATCTGGTAGACCTAAAGGTATCTCTTGTATATCTGTGTGGCGAGCAGCAGAGGCATGCGGGAAAAGCCGAATTAGGGCCGGATGCTTGCAGGTAGAAGACAGAGAAGCGCATTTGCATATGGTGGTATGTAGTCTATGCACATACAGCGACAAGTTAAACGCTTCGTCCAAAAGCAAATGTCCAGTGGGCACATGGGGGTGCCGCAGATAGCTTGAAGGGCGAAGCTGAAGCTCATGCTACAGGTTTTTCCATAGGCATTCCTAGGAATTTAGGGTCTACTTTCGAAGGAGTAAGCTATGAGATGAACATCCATAGCCGTAAAGGCAAACCGGGCTTCTTGGAAAGGATGTACTGCCGCTCTGTTTGCCTTGCACTCATGTTCTGCTCAAAAACGATATACGTCGCCTGATGAAGAACATTAAGAGAAACACGGGAAGGCAAAGATATATTCACTGATGGTGTCTGATGCAAGGCTGCCTTTTGACACACGGAGGCGCTTAAGCCTCTACACAGAACACCCCAAGAGTAGATGGGACTTCCGTGAGGCGCAGTTTTGTGCATCTACAAATGTGCAATACGTCTTTCGAGTTCCTGACAAAACCGTGTTACTGAGTCTTTGTCACTTGGGCACAGCGATTTCACAAGTTTGAGCTCTAGATCTGCGTACACATGACTCGACACTAGAGGATAGGTAATAGCTTGAAATTTCAAGTAAAGAATTGCTGTGTAACGAGCTGTAAGAAGAGAGGAAATCTCGCCATGCAGAAATTCGGATAGGGTGACTAGCCGGAACCCGGAGGGCAGCGCTAGCCAGAGACTCAATACCCTAGACAGCGAGATGCAGGTTATGGAAACCTCCCTCAAAGATAGCTGCGCGCTAAGTTGAGCAGCCGTGGAACGCATTTCTTTCACTTTCAACTCGCAAAATGACGAGTCTGCCTATTCTCTTGCACGTTCTTCTAAATCATAGGGCAGGGGTCGCCTTGCCCATATTCTACGTTTCAGTTTTGCGTGCCAATTAATATCCCGATGCTTCGACGCTGCTCTTCCTCGCAGTTGCTGCTCTACTGTCAACCGCCCAAGGTATTAATGAAGGCTTCCTCCCCTTTCTGCCAAACAGCCATTTCAGCAAGTTAAATGGCACCCGCGTAAACTCCAGGGGTGCCCCAAAACATGAGGGGCCCTTTAAACCTGGGGGCCCTTCCAGAGTTCTGCATGTCGAGTGCTTCATGGCCCCTCACGATGAACCTACACCGAAGTCCCCCCGACTAGCCTATTTTGTGCTTGGCCTTTTGTTTGGTTTTTGCTTTGCTATTCCATATTGTTTTCTTTTTTCTGCCTTTCTCTCTGAATTACCAGTTGACGAGGCGCTCTCCGAGGCTCCGCAGCCAGCGGGCAAGGCGACACCTTTGGTGTGGAGGCGCCTTGTCGGTGGCCCTTCCAGCGCACTCCAGAGAGTTCTCAGGCAGCGGATGTTGTCGTGTAGTTCCTAAAGGTGCAAGCACATATATATGTACACGAACGTCTGCTATCAAGCGCCTGCGAAGGCCACTGCTGCACAGACTGGCATGCCTACTGTGGCTGAAGTCTGCATAGTTGACTGCGCCACAAGCCCACATGTGTGTGTGTGCACGAATTTATGTACAGATAGCTGAATGCAGAGATTTACAACTGAACATGGCCGCAGACCCATCAGCGTACAACCGCGTTGGAATGCAGTGGCGGAAACGAAGAAGCAAAATTTGCAAAAAAGAAAACGCACTAGGTCGTAGCCTTAACACATACTAGGAAAACACATACTTTGAGGAGATACGCAGAAACGCGTGCCGCCCAAAAGCTATCCTCTTGCTGCAGTTGAGATGTATACTGTGCACACACACACACTCACACACACACACGCCATTGCACACAACCGAACCCCGAAATCCTGGACAGCTGCCGAAGTGTATCGACACATACACACACTCACAGACATACAGGGAGAAGTATTGCAAATGTGCATGCAACGGATCAGACAGCGCCACACGAAGCAGCACACATGCAGGATTATAGAGGAGGAGGAAACATTTGCGGAGAGCTAAAGGCAGGAGATCCCATCGCGACACGGAGACTGAGCTGTTGTTAACAACGTGTAACTGTGCTTGGCAGACGGACGAGGATGATGTCTCTGTTGCGACGAACGAGCATCGCGCATTGGTATGCGGCACTGCTGAAGTCAGGGGAGGATCGTCGAAACTCCTAAGCGTGAAACCACAAAAAACACGCATCCGCTTTCCAGTGTACGCAAGCTTCTTTACTTGCTCGTGACTGAACAAGGGGGTTGACACCGGAGTTACGGCCGATACACCACGAATGCAGTTCGATGGTACACCCCGACGTGCTTCCCTGCGCTAGCGCCCCCCCCTGAGTGCATGCAGCCGAATTCGCAATCGCTGCGAGGTTCGCTGGATGCGCCGACAGCGTAACATGTGACGACTCCGTCGCCTTTTGTTGCAAACCATGCACACATCCCTAAAAGAGGCAGGTGATGCACTGCCCCCAAAGGCTTTCTGGAGCGCAGCCAAGGGGAGGCAGACACGCGTCCATGCACATTATATATGCGCGGTCTGAACTGTCACCCTGTTTGCGTCCATCCCATCCTATCCCGCAAGCCGTCAAACTCCACTACAACCGACCATCTTTCTAGCGCATCGCTTAGGCCTCAGATTGCCCGCTGCTGGCTTTTACTGCGCCACACTGCTGCGCGATCTTACTAAAAAACCTAACCCCTCCGCGCAGCATTCGAAATACTGAACTGACCAGGGGGACGTCGGTAGCAACGCTACGAGTGTGCGAACAAAGCCGGTGACGCAAACAAAACGGATGAAATGTCACATCATTATTCTTCCTTTGAATATTGATTTGATCTGCTCGCACAACAGATATACATATATAATACCTATTCGTATAGATATACATACATACATATAGATCGATGCATACCCCCATCAGATCCTGAGGCCTCAATTCTGAATCCGCTGGTTTCTACCCCGAATCATCCTGTACATACACGATAGGCCATAATATCGACGTACACACTGAAAGCAGTACTTACACGCGTTGCTACCTGAGGGGTCCCTACACGCAACCCGCCGTCAGGCACCCCCGTCCCCTCTTTCTTCCCCTTCTCACCCCCACCAACCCCACCAATTACCCAGCAGTCCGCTGACGCACACCCAACAACACGCGCTCCACAACCGCAAGTATGGAATACTTCGCGCTCGCGCATGTGGCGGCACGTTCCCCGCTCCGCACCCCCTAGCCGCCAGAGGCTTCTCTATGCGTACTTGTTCAGTGACTCTCCACTCCCTTCTATCCAAAAGCTTGTTTCCCCTCCCCCGTTCTCCTCTAAACACGCGCCTACAGCGCTTCTACAACACCCCCTAAGCTGAACGCTTTGATCTGAATATATACCTGTTATGTTCATCCCGAAGCCCGCCATAACGGCGCACGCCGCATGAAAGGAAGTCACGCACTTCTCATATGCGCACTGAATCGAGGCACCTCCTCTCAAACCGCAAATACAGCAGGGGACTGAGAAACGCGATGCGCATATCAAAGGGACGCCGCAAACGGACCGACAGCCAACTACCCAACATTCAGGAATCCACAGGCCGCAACTGACGTGTGCCCATAAGCCTGCAAATGCAAACAAAAACGCCGAGGCTGCAGTGAAAACTTATAAGAACGCATGCAGGCGGCTATACACCAGAAAAACAGCACAGTATTCCGCACTCGATCGGCGAGACTGAGGCCCCTCACACTCCCCCACACTCCTCCTCTCTCCTCCCCACAGTGAGCTTTCGCCAGAGAAGAGGGGTACATGGAAAACGCACAACCCAAGGCACCCTTTGGTCAGGCATACATCGCCTGCCCGCGCATGCCCTCATTTACAACAACCCCTACACAGAGACACACAAAGGCCTCTCTAGGTCAACTGAGAGAGCTCTCTCTCCCCTCAGCAAACAAGCACCAAGCACCCACCGCAACGGAGCGAGATTGAAAGACACAAGGAGAGAAAGAGATTGAAAGAAAGAAAAGTATAGAGACAGACAGAGAAGGACCATGCGCTGTGGGGTGGCGAGCCGCCATACAGAGAAACCGACCGAAATAGATAGACAAACACACAGGAGAAAAGATATACAGATACACAGAGAGAAGGATAGGGAGTAAGAAACACAGAGATCGAGAGAGAAAGATCGATCGAAAGAAAGAGACAGAGAGATCCAGAAAATGATTGAGACGCCTTTGAATGGTGCCGTCCGTGATACGGATACGGAAACTGAAATTTCTAGAGGTCTCATACCCTCAGTTGTGCGTATTAAGGCGCCCCCTCTCCGTGGACATAAGACGCATCGCCGCGAAAGGCAAGGAATATCCGTGCCGCTGCTTTCTGCCTTCGCGACTAACGCCGTGAGCTCCGCTAAAAACACATAAACGTTACACACTTTTAGTTGCACCGTCACAGCCCCCCTCCCCTGCAATCCCTTTCCAACGCGAGGCGCTTTCAAACTCGCAACTGGAGAAATAGCCGCATTGCGAACGCTTTGAGAGTGCAATACCTTCTTTCTGCTCCACGGTAAGGTCTTTGTTTTGTTGAACGGCTTTAAGCCTCTTCATGTGGTCGTCTGCGCGCCTCTTGGCAGCGCAGTATTCACAATACCACTCGCCTTCCGGCACTTCGCTTATTAGGTAGCAGCTTTGATGGACTGCCACATCACAGCCATCGCACAACACGATGGCGTCATCCTGAGCCGCGAGTACAGACACCGCGCACACACGACCGACCCCACCGAACTCTCTAAGGCTCTGCTTCTTTCAAGGCATCAAGCAGCAGCCCTTATTGGCTACCTGCGAAGCGAGAGACACACTAAAGGCCGTCTGGCAACCAGATATCGCGCATAATGTACGCAGTGTCAGCGCCGTTAAAAAGCAAAGGGGCACCCTATCGTACGCAAGCCTCCCTCCGCCTTACAGCCGTGGTGTCAGCGTTAGCGCATACGTCACACCGCACGCCGTCATCCTGCAGATCTTCACCCAGAAGGATCCATAGCTGTCGCTGCTGCTCGAACTTCTTTTCCCAAGCAGAGGCAGAGAGCCGACGCAGCCCCCCTCGAAATCGACTCCTCAGTAAAGTTGTGCATACAGCAGAGGCAGAAACTGGAGGCAAGGAAAGCCTTGAATCCATAGGCGTCACGGTCTTTTCAGGACTGCCCTTCTACAAAGTACCGTCCCTAGCGGCAAGACGCAGATTGCAATATCCTTGGGGGCTATGCGAGAGAGCACGGAGGGATGCAACGCCCAGTATGCGACGGTGTTCACACAAATGAAGTAACGCTATCCAATGGACTCATTGCCGAAAACTTTCCTCCAAAGTTGAACGGCGTCACGCACCGTACACCGCACAGTTAGGCAAACGGTGCTTCTAATCGCTTGAGACTCCCACCAACTCTTGGGGAGGAGATGCAGGGGCACTTCCCTAATAAGAGAGGGACCGTCACAAACGCGCTAGGGGAGCTGTGTAGCGGCCATCTAGGAAATACGAAGCCACGGGCATAAAGCAGAGGCCCTCGGGGATATTTTATAGACCCCCGAGGCACGTACGCGGCTGCACTGGAACGCCGCTGACGCCGCTGTTGCGGTTTAGGTGGATATGCAGCGCCAGCAGTTGTTGGCGCTCCTGTAGCTGCTGTTGTTTGCAAGTAAGGAAACTTGAGAGTTACCCTGTAACTAGGGAAGGCTAATTTATCGTTCTACGGCTTTGTGACGCTGAGAAAGGGCCAGAGCAAGCCTTCCGTGAGCTTTTTCGGGGGGTACAACTTTACAATTTCCCGAAGAGGTGGAGAGAATCAACACAGCGCAAGGCGTAAAGTTCGAATCAACACAAGACAGAGCTAAATCGGAAATATCCGCACGCCGATGTACTACGCAAACAGACACAAACGACGGGCTGCATATGTCACACAAGAAGCCGCGGAACGGCATGAGGCGCGAGAATCTCCCAGCAGTAAAAGGCGAATCAGCAGAGAGAAAACTCTCCGGTGAGCCCGAAAGCAGGGAAAAATAATGAAGAAGGCGCCTTGTTCATGCAGGATCGCGCCAGTATTTCTCGGTAGCCTGCGGCGTCCTAGAATGCATGCCCACGTAGTGTTGGGTTGTTGCTTGTGGATTGCCACGGACACACGTAGTTCACCGAAATAATTTTAAAGCGGTATCTTTGAGTGAATGCCTTTTTGTTTTCCTCAGGGGATCGATGTATTTGGTGCTTCTTCGTAATTCTTCACAAATACCTCTGCGCGCTCCTCTGTACACATACAGCTGCGCTTCAATTGAGGGCCTCATGGTGTATCTTGTTCAGGCCCTTGAAGTGTTCGTTCGGCGCGCCTTGAACTATGGCCTCCTGTCACCTTCTTTCGATTGCCGCCTAATTGGCTCTTCGTCTAGCCAGCGTAGGCACGCATTCCCCCCTCTGAGGAGGTACAACACCACACTCTCTTCAGCACCGCAAATTGCACTTCCGACGAACACGAGGAGCGACGGCCACTCGAGTTTCCGGGGCAGGAGCTGCTGAATCCTCTTGCTGGACGCGTTTATGCTGCTTCTCCCCGTATTCCCCTCTTGCGTGCCCATTGATCGGCTTTCAGGAAACGGGGCCTTTCGAGTTGCACTCACTCGTCCGGCCCTCCGTCTCCGCGGTGCCTACTCGGTGTCGAGGTGTCTGCTGTGTGTGCAAATTCTAGTCAGTACACATGGGGAACCCCCTACTCAAACAATACCACGTCGACAGAGAGCTCCTCATTCCTGGCACCCGGCACGCCAGATGGACGGTAAGGCAAAAACTTCTCTAAGCCTGTCCCTCCGCAGCAATTCTCTTTCCTCATTCTCCCTTAGGTGCCCGCCAGTCCTGTATTATCCGCCAAGCTGGACTCGCTGTTCAGCATAGCTGCTGCAACTGCTAGGCATATCATCAGCAGCAGCGGCAGCACGATTCACGTAAAACAGGTCGAAACGCGCCGCCTTTTTATGTGTCGCCTCTTTCTTTTGCATGCAAGGCGCGCACACGTAGCTCAGCGGCTTAATGCCGCCTACATGTGGACCTTAATTTGACGTTGGACTCCTCAGGTTTACCGGGGGCGGCATGCAGAACGACCTGGAGTGGATGTCTGTTTATTCACGGCAAACCTGCGTGCACCAGAGCTAGCAGCTCTCGCCCCTGATGGAGCAGCACTGCAGAAGCTGCGCAGTCTGCTGCAGCAAGACGCTCAGCTGCTGCAGCGGCTGCGGCACCCGCGTCTGCTGCAAGTAGTGGATCCGCTGCAGCAGGCCAAAGACTCGTGGGTGTTTTGCACGAAGCCTGTAGAGCGTTCGCTTCGACAGCTCCTTGCCTTCGCGAAGGGCTCTCCGCAAAATGCAAGCGACAGGCAAGACCTCCATCATGTCGCCTCCACTGTTTCCGGTTATTACCTTCCGCCGAACGCGGAGCAGCGCAGCGGCAGCGGTGGAAGCTCCATCACCAGCTTGAGCAGCAGCAGCAGTGCCAGCAGCAGCAGCAGCGCCAGCAGCAGCTGTAACGAACTGGCATCAACAGCCCTTCCATTCGGATGCCCCCTCGAAGGGCCTTCCCTGCTGGAAGCAAAATGTGGACTTTTAGATATCGCCGAAGCGATCTCCTTCCTGCACGGCAGCGGTCAGCTGCTGCATCTGAACATACACCCGGATTCTGTCTTCATCGACGGCGCAGGTCGCTGGCAGCTGGGAGGCCTCTGTTTTGCAGTTGAAAGACAGGCGCATGCCGACAGCGAAGGCACTCCTTGTGTCTTTTCTTTCGGGTACGAGCACGCGGAGTCTGTGACAACTCTTAGACTTCGCCGCTCGGCGGGGGGAGAAACTTTTTCCAAACACGAGGCTGCCGCAAAGGCAGTGCTGCTGCAGTCAATTTCCTCTGGGAGAAGGGAATATTGCGAGGGAGGGTGTACGCGGGGGCTTGTGAGCAGGGGAAGCGACGCATGCATACATATACGTACATATATATATACATATATAGATGCATATATGGAGAGATGCATCTAGAAACATATAGAGAGACATACATGTATGTGTCTATGTATATAGCCAAATACATGTATGTATCTATGTACATACATATATTATATATGTATGTATATCTAGAGAGCCAGAAAGGCAAGCTGCCCGAGTGGAAGTCTTAAGAGAACGGCCTGCGCTGCGAGCTGCGCGTGCCTCGTGTTTCCCTTTTGTCGTTCTCCTGCTGTTTGTGCGACTTTCTGCGCGCGCCATTTTCGCGCATCTGTCTGCTGCTCGTGTATCCGCCTGCCTGTCTGCCGCTGACTTGACCTCTCCTACATACGTTGCGGATTCGCTCATCCTCAGTAGCGTTCTGCTGTCACCCCCTCTGTCTCTCTCTGTCTCGAGGTGGTGGCTTCGCCAAATTGCATGTGCGCCTGCGCTTCTGCCTGCAGCTCTTCAAGTGCTGGACTCGCGTTGGCTCCTCCCCTTCGCTATAGTGCGCCTGAGCTTTCTAGCGCCTTCCCCCCGCGTGCTTCGGAGGCAGCGGATGTTTTCTCCTTTTCTCTGCTTGCGGCGGAAATTCTCGGTGCCAGAGGCCTCCCCACGTGCAAGGATGGTGAACTTCAAGACCATCAGCAGCAGGTAGGTTAGCTAGCGCTTGCTCTCTGCAAAGGAGCTACGAAGGCGGCTTTCAAGCTGCCTTCTCCTCGAGCATACAGTGCACCATGGTCTAAGAGACACCCTTTCCTTGCGCGTGTGTAAGGCCACCTTGTCTCTGAAGGTGTGTTCTTGAGCAACACTGTCGCGAGTCTCGACATTTGGATAGCAGCTCCGCCTCCTGCATCATCATCACGGGGGTGATGCGGTGCGCATCGACAGAGAGGGAAAAAGAGAGAGAGACAGAGAAAAAAAAGAGACACAGAGAGAGAGAGGGAAGGAGGGAAGCAGCTGCACGTCAGTGGTGTCTTTTCTGTGCGCATTCTTTTTGCTGCTTTCCTGTGATCTGCAGTGCAGCACTCTGGCCCCCCTGCGTGCCTCCTCCTTCCCGCCAGATTCACTCTTTCAGCAAGCGGCAGCAGAGGCAGCAGCGACTCCAGCGACGGAGTTGCTGCAGCTCCTCTCGCGAGGACTCGATCCCGATCCCCTGCAGCGCCCTAGCATTGAGGCTTTCTTGGGGAGTTCGTTTTTGCTGAGCACAGAGACAAAAGCGTTGCGCTTTCTCGCCTGTCTCCACGAAAAGGAGCAGCAGCAACAACAGCAGTTCCTCTTGGGCCTGCTTCCCCTGCTGCAGCAGCGAAAGCAGCTGCAGCAATCCCGCGTCTTGCGGCTTTTCGTCCTTAAGCCTCTGCTCTCTGCCCTCAAGTTCCCCGCAGTACTACCGGCGTTGCTACCCAACATCCTGTGGGCTGTCAAAACGGTGCGCTCGACTCGTGTCTCGCACTTCTTGCCCCTCCCAATGAGAAATAAAACGGCTACTGCAACTCGTCTACTGCTTGCACTTGCTTTGAGGCGTTGGCGCGGCAGCCTTTGCATCCGATTGCTCTGCCTTCTTGAGCACCCCCCACCGACTGTTCGTGCGCTGCTGCCCTCCGCTTGGTTGCTGCCTGGAAAGCGCCTCGTCTTCTCCTTCCCTGTGTCTGATGTAGTTAGAAGATGACGCCTTCTTTAGATCCCGAGTATGGCCACAGCTGGAGCCGTTGCTCACAGCAAAAGAGATCCAAGTCGAAGCGGTTGTTATCCTCGTACGTCAAAGGGAGACACGTCGATCTCTCTGTTTCATTCATTCATTCTTTCTTTCTTTTCTCCTTTCTCTGTCTCTTTGTCTCTCTCTCACTCTCACTCTCGTTGTCTCTCTCACTCTCGTTGTCTCTCTCACTCTTTCTTTGTCTCTGTCTCTCTCTCTACCTAGTGGCCCTCTCATGAGCTCGATGTACAGCTAAAGGATAAACAGGAAACACGGGAAGGGAGTTCAGAGTTCAGTGGAAGGCTGAGGCTACGAGGCGACAAAGGGAGGCGTCGCCAGACGCCGATTTCGCAAAGGAATTGAGCGCGGCGCTGACTACCGCCTTCGCATGGCCAGCCATCAGCATCGATTTAATACTCAGTATAAGTATTATATATATAGTGGAATGCGGTTGGGAGGAGGGAAGCGTTGCGAAGGGCGTGGCATAGCATATATATATGTATATATATGTATATATATGTATATGTATATATATGTATATATATATATATATATATATATATATATATATATATATATATGTATACAGCAGGAAGGAACAGAGGTGGCAGGTTCAGAGTTCAGTCCCTCCTCTTCCCTCCCCCCCATTCCCCCGCCCCTTCACAAGAGGCGTGTGAATAGGAAAAAATGAAATGGCAATAGGGTTGAAGTGCCACGGCGTCATACTTTTGCTGCTTGCTGAATCGACCCTATGCGCATGTACCGACGGCATCGCAGCGCAGCGCACAGCACGCGCGAACGAAGGGGAGGCAAACAGGTGGCAGGCGTGGAGAGATGCGAGCAGCGCAGGAGCAGCGCGTTGAAGAGAGACATGAAGGGATGGGGTGGCTATGAGGGTGCTGGAGGTTGCTAGCCGCACAGCGCGTCGGCAGAATCCTTTTCTTCTCTGCGCCGCAGATCTCGGAATTCGAGAACCTGGTGAAGCCTGCCAATGAAGAGACGCGTTCAAAGGCTTTGCTGCCGTTTCTTCTGAAGTGTCTGGATATTCGAGTGAGCGAAGAAGCGGGAAAAGCCCCCTTCCAGACGCTACACGCCGCATCGCTGGCGTGCTTCTCTCCCGACTCTTCATGCAGTCGCCATGTGGCCGCCTTCTTTCTGTCTGCTTTGACTAAAACGCTGGCGAAGTGCGCTGCTGTTTCTTCGAATCCGTCCGTCCTTGCGCCAGAAGACTGCCTCACAGGGCACCTGCCCTTCGGCATGTGTGATGGCGGCGTTGTGTCTGGCGATTTTTCAGGCACCAGAAATTCAACAAGCAGCCCTCACTGCTGTACAGACGTCGCATGGCGTTTTTGACTATACTGCGCACCGCACGCTTTTCCTGCCCAGAGTTCTCTCACTCATTGCAAATGCAGGTCGGTGTTGACTTGCTTGTTGAGCGTCTAAATGCCAGGAAGCATGCACGGCGTCTTAGGAAGAAGACATGCGGAGCGAGAAGCCTCGAAGTTTGCTGTGTTGCTTGCATGCACGCACAGAGTCTTCAGCAGTTCGCTTGGCGGGATTGGAAGCTTTGCGATCGATGGGGTCTTCTTTTGATCGGGATACAGTGGAGGCGCAAATTCTCCCTGTGCTCCTGCAGGTGATGCGAGATGCTTCTCTGTGACTGCCTGTTAGACACACTCTACACCCTTCTCCTAGAGCACCCGCGATTTCACTCCCTCCAATCCCTCTAGGCCATAATGTCAGCAAATGCCAACGCATTGTTCATCTAGTTGACTCCCGGATAGCAACAGCACCAGCAGCACCAGCAGCGACAGCACCAGCAGCAACAGCAACAGCACAAGCATCAGCAGCATAATAATAGAGGGCAGACGTGCACTGTTGCTGCCTGAGGCTGCAAGTCAAGGTCAAAATTAGGCCAGAGCAGCGAGTTAAAAGCGTTTTAAAAGCACGAGAGTTTCGCTGGCATGCCTTTTGTTTGATGCTGCATGTCTCCCTCTGTGCGTCTCTATAGGTGAGGCGATCCGAATCATCTGCTGCTTTCTGTGCCGCTCTGAGCGCCTGCCTGTCCACCATCTCGCAGTGTCTCTCCCTTGGCAGCACAGCAGAACGCGTCCTTCCCATCTTTGTCTGCCTCCTTCGTAAGCTGGCTGTCTGCAGCAGAACGACCCTCTTGCTTCAAATTCTGGAATAGCCTCTTTTTCTCTTAGGCGTTCCCAAACACGGACGCATCATGCTGCTACATGTGCGTGTGTGCGCTGCCTGCGTCGCTAGTGAATGACGGGCTCTCCCTCGAGGATTACCGCAAAATTGACGCTGCAATCAAAGCCATCATCCGAAGAGTGAGGCTGTGTTCAGGGTGCCTTCGAAGCAGAGAAGCCTTGAGATCTGCACTGTCACCATCGTGAAAATTTGGTGTGCTAGTGTTGTGTTTGTTCCTTAGGTAGATGAAGACCGACAGCGCCACTTCGCTGTCAAGGCAGTAAGTCCGCACTCAAAAGGGAATTCTTCTTTCCAGAGAAAGCCTTCCTCCGACGTTTCCCCTTCCAATCTTCCCTTTGCTCCACCCAGCTCCCCCCGCACACCCCCAAAATGTGCCTAGGCAATTGGTTGTCGGCTGTCCATCGAATAGCAACCCTCCAGTCGTGCGTATAGCTTTCCTGCGTCGCCTTGCTGAAGCGTTTCCTTGCGTGCGTCTTGACCTTTCAAAGGGGCCTCTGTGTGTTTGGCATCGGCGTAGGAGCAACAGTCCGCAGTGGATGCTGCACTGCCTTCCAGCCAAGAGACTCCCTCACTCCCGGCAGTTTCTCTAGAGGGGCTTCTCGCGACAGCCAGTCTTCCAGTCCCCCCTTCTTTGTCTCTTCCGAGCGGAAAAGGAGGCCTCCTGCACAGCCTCCCCACCCCGCCGAAGCCTCCCCCCCCTCCGCCAGCCTCGACATGCCTTACACCCCAGTATGCGAGTAACAGCACCTCAGGACTGCATCGTCAACACCAAGGAGCGCTAAGCGAGGCTGCTGAGCAGATGCTCCCGTCTCTGAATGCTCGCTTGCCGGAGCATAAATTCCCAGCTCCCCGCGGCAACACTAGCGGCGCCGAGAAAAACTCCCCATCAAGGGCTTCAGAAGAATGCTCTGAACTCGACATGATCCTTGCTGCTGCCTCTGCGGCGATACCTCAAAACAAGCCGTCGTAAGATCTCGTCGCGCGTCATTGTTCAACCTTCACCTCTGCTTAATAAGAGGGTGCGAGGCCAGCCACTGGCACCACCCCCTCCCTCGCACCCCGTGCAAAAAGCATGCGATTTCTTCGCATATTTTTCGCGCTTCCTCTCTCCTCTTTGTCGCATCCGTGCAGTCCTGTCGAGCCTTTCGCGGATCTGCTGCCTTTTCCTGCTTCAACTCCCTCGGCAGCTGCGAGCTCCAGTAGGGGGACGCCTGCAGAAGGCGCTGCCACGTCGTCGGCGTTTTCCTCCGCGCGCGGAGATTTTTTTGTCGGACTGCCTGGGGCTGCATGCAGCGGCGGCCTTGCGATCAGGCCCCCTATTTTATCGAGGGTACGTCTTTTGAATCAGGCAGCATTTGTTTACAACCCGGGGAAAAAACCGTGGTGTTTCCCTCGTAAACAAGCAAGCAAGCACACACACACTTACACACACTTACGCACTTACACACACACTTACACACACACACACACACACACTTACACCCACACACACACGCACACACACAACCACACACACACACACATACAAACACACACAAACACACATACACCAACACAAAAAAGAACACTCAACACACTACGCAACACAATACAAAAACAAACTCAATCATACAAAAAACAAATAAAGATACAAACACACACACACGCACACACAAAATCTAAAGTACACACCCATCACACACCAACACTAAAACCATACTATCAACTAAGCACCCTGGCAAAAATACAAAGTAGGAGCTTTATCTCCCAGTAATTTAT